ATTGAAAAATATTAATATTATTAAGTGATGATGAGGGTGAGGGAGAGGGAGAGGGAGAGGGAACGCGAGCGGGAACGAGACCGGGAGCGGGAGCGCCGCAACCGCCAATACACCGACAGGGACAGAGATAGGGATCGGTACAGCCGAGAGAACAGTAATGGCAACCGGTACAGAGACAGGTCAAGGGAAGATGATAGGTCGGCTCTGAGGAAGAGCCACTGGAAAGAGACGGCGGGGGCGATTGGGGTGGGAGGGGCGGCTGCTACGCTGCTGAGTGTTTTGACGGATGCTGTTCAGTACTTGTGAGGAGGACTTGGAGATATACCTATTTTAATCTTGCTTTTTTTTTTTGTGGGAGGAATTCTTGTGATGAAAATGAAACGATTTGGGAAATGGATATTAAGAGGAGGGATTTAAAAATATGGGGGTGATTTCACGGAGGTTGTTGACATTGCTTGTTTATGATTTTCCTTTGTTCATAAGGTTGGTTTTGTGATGGTTTAGATTTAGATAGATACCTCTGGTGGGATGGCAGAGGGCTGAGGAACTGCTTCGGAAGTAACGGGGGACAACTGCGAAGTCAGGAGGATACTCATCAGGGAAAAGGATAAAGTGTGGCAAGCAAATGGGAGGACATCTGGAAAGAAACAGGGCACCAAAGATACCCATTTATTTTAGTTTTATGTTTACTCAACAATAATACACCTACAAGTCTGTGTTTCGCATCACAAACATCCCTCACAATCTGCTTGGTTCTTCTAACCACCCTGAAAAGCGTATTAGATGTCCTTTGAGGTTCGTTGGGGGTCTCATGTTGATCATCTCATTAATGCTGGCTTTATCTGCTACATATCCTGCTTTTGGCCTTCCCTAACATAAACCCATATTTCCCAATCCTACCATCGTGTAGCCCAACGTATCTCTATACATAATCTCACATACATGAGAGCCTGACCTTCCTTCCAAGCCCGACATAAACTCCATAACCTGCTTGCTGTGCCTAGCAATATCACAAGAAATGAAATAATCAAGATACCTTATCTACCTTCTCCTCGCAGTCCTCCTCTGCGGCAGAGCCCCAGCCCCAGCCCCAGCACTCGAAGCGTTATTGGAAGGCCCATAACCACCCAAATCGCCAATCGTGACAAAGCCTTGCTCTGCCGTCAACTTCCCACCCCCCTCCACAGTGCTCCCCGTCAGTTTACCAAGCAACGCCGCCTTTGCCTTTCTCGACTGCGGATCCTCAAAGTGGAGCTGCGAGCTCGACACAAGCGGCCCCTGTGATTTGTCCTTGTCCCCGAGCGAGCCATTTTCTGCATCCTTCTGCTCGGAGCTGCTAGCTGCCGATATGTTGGACACGGCCGACACATTGGAGATGGCCCTGCCCAAGATCTCTCTCTTGCGTCTCTTGGCTTGGGGCTGCTGCCTGTCACCTTCCATGGAGGACAACCGGTCAGCCGTGAGTCCGGCACTCTCTGACCCGGCGGCGATGACTGTGCTGGTTGTCCTCTTGAGAAGGGCGGATGTTAGCTTTTCTGACAGAGCGATACGCTCCTGTTCTGCACGCATTGCCCGCAACTTTTCTGCGTTGTCTTTGCGTGCTTCCACTTCGGGTATAGAATGGAGGGGAGAGGCCGTGTCTGCTGACTGCCCGACATCGCCATCGGTGGCCTCAGAATCGGCCACTTCGGAGCGTGTGCGGCTAAGGGGTTTGTGAGTTTCTGGTGCCTGTCCGGATCGCGAAGAAACCGAGGAGGAGGAAGAGGGCCTATTCAGACAGTTGGGTAAGGCTTTCGAGAGAGGCGCTCTGGGTGTCTCATTGGAGGGGGTTTTGGTAGATTCGCTGGGAGCATGGTGAGTGGGTGCTGTTTCAAAGTGTGTATTGGCCGTCGTCAAGAAGGAGTCTTCTGGCGCCATTCTCTTTCTAGGCGGTTTAGCGACTGTGTCCGTCTTCTCAGGGGCAAAAGCTGACGCATCGATATCTGAGCGACGTGTAGGCTTGGTCGTGGCAGTTGACTTGGACAACAAGTCCTTGTCTACCGTGTCTCTTGCTGCTTGCTTGGGCTTCTGCCTGCCCTTCGTGGCCTCGGGAGTCTCATGTGCCATGGTGTGCTTTGGGCCCTGCAAATTCTGCTGCTTTAGCTCTGGAAATAAGAAGTCCCGGATAGGAACAATAGAGCCCGTAGATATGCATTTCCACAACCAACCGGCATTCACAACAGGTATTTTCCACTCCAACGCAAGCTTCAACTTCTGCGGCCTGATCCCAGAGAGCGTCGGGCAGACTAATATGGAGATATCGGCAGTGAATCGCTCTTCGTATCTCGCCCCCAATTGCCTGATGGACTTGTCGATCTGGTTGAGGTCGACGCCAGTGAAGTTGGACGTGCAGATGGAGAGCTTCTTAAAACCCGGAATGGGAAATGTTGGGAATGGACGCCCGATGACATGGTCTGCTGGGTGGAAAAAGCGCTTGTTGTGGAGGCATTTCTCGATATAAAATTCGGTAATGATGCTGACGTTCTCGGGGACTTTTGGCTGTATCTCGGGAGGAGATTCCTGCGGTATAATAAAGAACCGATGTGCCATCTGAGCACCAGATGCCGAGGAAACTTCTTCTAGAGAATGGCATATCATGCCCCCCAAAGAGGCCACAGTGTTGAGAAGCATCTCGGTCTTTTTGGCCGAGAACCCATGGATGAAGAAGCAACATGAGGCGAAAACGCCGCTTTCATCGGGGCGACCGAAAGACGAGAGCTTTGAGCCTTGGGTGTCCATTGACTTCGTGGGATTTGGGCCTGAAAGTGATGGTTGTGTGACATGCTGAAAAGACGCTGAGGGAGCAGGTTGTTGCGGGGCGGTCTCGAAAGGTTCGGCGGTCTCGGGCTGTGGTGGCTTGCCCATGCCTAAAATGTCCCCCCAAAGGTTATCTCTCTGATTATTAAGCTTCATACTGGCAGTCTTGCGCAGCTTTCGCTTTCCATCCTCCTGGGCGGCGGCATTTTCTCTCAACCGCTTTCCCATAGCAGCGTGCTGTGCCCGTTCCTTGTTCCAAGCACCGACACCCCTTTCTTCCCGAGGCAACACAGGGTCGTAGTACCTCTCATCCAAGATCATGCCTCGTTCGACACTGTCTCTGACCCACTCGACCGACACGGTCTGTTGTCCCCATCTCTTGGAGGCGTAATATTTCTTGCCTTCGGGTTTCTGGGCAATCAGGTGCGTGACGTCCTTGACGAGATCGCCAGTGTAGCGCCCGCCGTTGGCTTCGATCAAATTTGCGATTTCCTGACGGGCGGCGGGGTCCTCGATGCCAGTTGTGCAACAGAGAAGCTGGCCGCGGGGGTGGTTTGGGTCCATAGTTCCTCCATCCCTCTCGAAGGCGCGCATCTGCCATTGTTTTTCCAGGGCGGCAAAGTCGATCTCGGCATCCCTCACCCAGAGATCCCGGACGGCCTCGACCCAGGCAGTAGCCATGGGCTTGATGTCGGGGCGCTCTCTGGCGACATGGCGGTACTTTGCGGTGTCGTAGTTTCCGACGATCAGATGTGTGCATTCGGGGGTGAGGTCATACTTGTGGAGACCTCCCAGTTCGATCGTTTTCGAGGCGATGTCTTCCTACGGTTGGGGAGCTCTGGTTAGCTGGAACACGGCGCGGTAATGGGTTGGTTGAGTTGAGGTTTTAGTTACCCTGAGGTCGGGCGGGATGCTGGTGCAGCAGATGACAACGCCCCGGAAAGGTTGAGCTGGGTCGAAGCCGGCCTCCATTGGATCTTTGTGTTTACCCGGCGAGCATGAGCATGAGGCTGCGTGAACGACGACAGAATATCTGACGGACAGCGGGAATGCGGACAGTCGCGTCGCGTGGGCAGCTGACATGTGGGGCACTTTAACATGTTGCTGCTGGCTGATGCGGGAGGATCGAAGAATCATAACAGGGGTTAGGGTTAAGCTACTATACATCTTTTCTCTTTAACTCCTACAAGTTGCTTCCTCTCTCTCCTGATCTTGAACCCAGTCATGATAACTCTATGTTGATCCTTGGTGGTAAAATCGATGGTCACTTCCTCCCCGTCCCAGTTGACCTTGCCCGCCCGACACTCTTCCTCGGTAGCCCAGAGGAACCGCACATGCTCCTGAGGGTCAAGTGTCACCACCGGTCTCTCAGATGTGCTTGGGATTTGCACCTCTGCCTCGAATGTCATCTTCTCTACAGTTCTCCCCCTTCGCGTTAGAAACACATCTTTTGATACCAGCTCGACCGCATGTATCATGAGAAGCCCGCTCTCCTCCCACAATTCCCTCGCCAGCCCATGCAAGACAGTCTCATCTTCAACGTCACAAGCACCGCCGGGAATCTCCCATTTGAGTGGCATCGAGTCGTCTGGGGCGCGCTGGATGAGCAGGATGTGGTCATCGTGCGAAAATACCAGGGCACCGGTTGCTAGGTGTTTGAGGAGCGGCACATGAGGCCGACGGACCTCGAGGAGGTCGCCAACTGTAACATTGTAGGCGGAGAGGTTTGGTGAAAATGTGAAGGTGAAGCCTGATGGCGGAGGTGGTGGTGGCATACTAGCTGATATGAAGGAGAAGAGGTAAGTTGATAGGTAACAGAGAAAGATGTTGCTTCCAGGCCCCTTTTCAGTTGAGCCCCACTCTCACCGCCCAAGTCCTCCACAAGGCAACAAGGCAAGGCACATAAGGCACTGATGCATATCACTTCGAGGCAACAAAGCATATGCTTCTTTTTACATATTGCTCCGTGCTTACTCTGCCCATGCATCGTGAGGAAACCTCATTTTCAGTTTGCTGAGTAATGCACAAGCAGCATGGGCTTAGCTTTCTCCTGAACCCCTCGGAGAAGTGATTGCTGGACTTGATCTCACATCGGTATACGAACCTGAAATCGACAGCTTCATGTAGGTCACACAGCACCGATTAGTCACGACCAAATCTTGGCTGCTTGTGAAAGACATATAAAAGTTACCCAGTGAAGCAATATCTGGAGCACTCACTCGTCTGCTCAGTGACACTTACCTTGGAAAACTCACGATTCACCTTCCCCTGACGCAATGTCTTCGCTACCACTGTCAATGAAGACTCTTCTCCAACTGTCGCCTCATTCTCCTTCCCTTACCCTCACCACCTCACCGCTGCCCGTACCTTCTCACCCTTCTGACGTGCTCATCAAAGTATACACTACCGCGCCCTGCAAAGGCGAGCTCACCTGGGCTGCCGCATTCCCAGATGTGATCCCCTCCACCAAAACCCCCGTGCCCTCTCAAGATCTCGCAGGTGTCATTGTCTCCTTGCCCCCCGCATACACCGGAGGGTTCAAGCCAGGGGACAAAGTCCACTGCCGAATCGAGGCGACCCGTCCCGGTGCGGCCCGAGAATACGCACTTGCCCGTCTTTCAGAGCTGGCATTGATACCAAAGAACTTGGGATGGATCCGGGCAGCTGCAACGCCCTTGAGCTCGTTGACCGCTTGGCAAGCCTTGTTTACACATGGTGGCCTGAATAAAGAAGGCCTTCTTGAAGGAAAAAATCCTGCGAGAGAGGAGAACGCAAAAAAACGAGTGCTCATTACGGGGGCGACTGGTGGTGTTGGCAGTTGGGCGGTACAGCTTGCTGCTCTGGCGGGATGCGAAGTGGTAGGGCTCTGCGGACCGAATAAAATTGCCCACGTGAAGGAATTGGGAGCAAGTGAGGTGGTGAACTATAAGGAAACTTCTCTTCGGCAATGGGCGTCGCCTGAAAGGGAGGTTGACGTCGTTTTGGACATGGTTGGAGGGAAGACGTTGGAGGGCTGTTGGTTCGCTATCAAAGATCAGGGCAAGATGGTCAGTATCTGCGCTCCTCCTGAAAGCGCTAGGCCAAGCCATCTTGTTGGAAAGGAGGGCGTGAACAGCAATTTCTTCATCGTTGAGCCTCTTGGGGAAGACTTGACGGAGATTGGACAACTGATCGAGGCAGGCAAAGTCAGGCCGACGGTGGATAGCGTTTGGTCGTTTGAGGAGTACGGGGCGGCCTTTGCGAGGTTGGAGAGCGGGCAGACGACGGGAAAAGTTGTCCTTCGAGTTGCTGACTTTGACGAGTGACTGATAACATGGCTGTGTACGGAGTAGGTAGTGTAGCTATGTATTGTGAATGATCAGGGCAATGTGGGAATGTTTCCGGTTTGATGTTTTGTGGGGTGTGCAGGGAGCAGGGATGTGATTGGCCCAGGCCTTGTCCCCTGAGACGTTGGGGGTTTGCAGACCCTGTCTCCAAGAAACCTTATTCAGAGACGCAGGGTCCTCGCTGCGACATGATCCCCTCAAGTGTTTGATCACCCTCATTGTCACAGCTCGAGAGATCCGACTGCCGCTGACAGCCATCGAGAGCACCATGGCATTGACCAAGTCGGCATTCTCGCCCTGTCTCCGTCAAGCGCGAGTCCTCCGTCGGCCATCAATTGCTCACTGAGCCTCACCACCAGCCTCATGTTGAGGCTGGAGTGTAGCTGTTGTGTAGCTACAGGCCCCTGGTCCTCGACACCTCCTGATCTTCTTCCAGAGAGCTCCCATGTGCGTGTCCACCCAGCAAGTTGTGGGATGAGACATTACAACCGCACAGGGTCGTACCGAGCGTACTCGCACACAGACACCCTTTCTCCAGCTCTCTTCTTGTTTCACACCACCTAATTCTCCTTCTTTGCCATTTACCTTGGTTTCTACTCGACACTGACCACTGTGTGGTGCTTTGTTGCTTCTCTCCTGCCTTTCCTTTCCTTTCCTTTCCTTTCCTTTCCTTTCCTTTCCTTTCTTTCTCTTTTGCCTTGCTGTGCCTCTAAGAGCCCAATCTTTCTTTCTGTTTTGTTTCTTGCCCTAGGCGTTGGTGCGGTCCAGAGCCGCCGGCGAGCTTGGGAACTTGGTCTCGATACCTTCTTTTGGTACCTTCATTTCTGTGTTTTTATACCTCTTTTTCTCGGGGAACCGGCCGGCCGTTTTTATAGTCACATACTCCTCTGGAATTCGCCTGGTGTGTCAACCTCGATATCGTTGCCGATGCAGACGCCGTCGTGGTAGTCCGCCGACACCATACTCGCCAGCAATGGCATTTTCCTTGCTCCTTTCCGCATCCGTATTGCTCCTCTCCTCGACTTTTAGCGGCCATGCGGTAGCTTCCTCCTTGCCATTCACAAACACCACGATACCACCAACAAATGTCTCGATACCGCACACACATGCCCCGATAAAGCTCATAAACTCGTCGGTAATAGCGCATGACGACGGCTGCGTTCATCTGCCCATCGTTCACTCAACCAATGCCAACCACTTTTCCAAGAAGCGTGGTGTTCAGCTCCAGTTAGCTAACCGGTCTGACATCGCGTACTACGCCCAACGTACATACGCCCTGTGTTCTGTGAGGTGACCGTCGTGAAGCTAACAAGTCTCTAGTGAGCATTGGTACACCACCACAGCCGGTTTTCGTGCAGTTGGATACAGGATCATTTGAGCTGTGGGTGAATCCAGATTGTACCACCGTCCAGGGCGCCGACGCAGCATTCTGCCAGCAAGTCGGCCGGTACGATGGCAATACATCTTCGACAGCCAAATCGCTGGGGACCACCAAGACGTTGAAGTATGGCATCGGTACTGCCAACATCACGTATTTTGAAGACACCATCACTCTTGCCGGGACAGCCACCGCCCTCCAGGCCGTCCAGTTTGGCGTGGCCACCGCAACAGAAGATACCTTCTCGGGTATTCTGGGTATTGGGTATGGGAAGGGCATTGCCACCAAATACAAAAACTTTGTCGATCAGCTTGTTGCCCAGAACGCTATCAGAGCAAAGGCATACACCCTCGCGCTGGGTAGTAAAGAAGAGAAGGAAGGAGTCATTGTGTTTGGTGGTGTTGACCCCTCGAAATTCGCCGGTCCCTTGGCCAAGCTGCCCATTATTGATGCCAACAACTCACCGGACCAAGTGCCTCGTTTCTGGGTCGACATGAATTCGATTGCTATCACGCCACCCAACAACGATACGAAAGTGTACGAGGGCAGCAAGATGCCTGTGTTCCTGGACTCCGGGTCGACAATGACACTGCTTCCACCCGATCTTGCAGCGACGATCGCGAAGGACTTTGGGGCCGACAAAGAGGATGACAACGGGTTTTACCGCATCGACTGCGGTTTGACATCCATGAACGGAACCCTGGACTTCTCCTTCAATGGACTCAACATCAGAGTCCCGTACAAGGAGATGATCAGAGAGGTACCCAGCAACCCGCCTGCGTGCTTCTTGGGCATTACACCAAGCAAGAAGTTTACCCTTTTGGGGGACACATTTCTACGGTCTGCTTATGGTATGTTTTCGGTCCGCCACAGTGTTATACACGGTCACACTAACGGGGTGAGACAGTCGTGTTCGACCTCGAGACAAACTCTATTTGGATGACGCAAGCTACAAGCTGCGGTTCCACCCCTGCGGCACTTGGTAGCGTTAACGATCTGTCCATGGTGGTGGGCGCGTGCGGTTTGACAGCTGAACCAGCGGTGACCGTTTCGAGTGCTGGCGGCACAACGGCGACCCCTGGTGTTGGTGTTGGTGGTGGTGGTACTGGATCGGATACGAACGGGGCCTCTGCGACAGTCTCCACGGTTGTGGTGCCTGAATCGCCACCAGGTGCAACCTCGACAGCAGGGTCACCAGTTACTTCATCAAGTTCAAGATGTCATCCGATGGCGGTCGTTGCCATGGCTTTTGCCCTCTTGGCCCTGGCGAACATGGGTTGAGAAAATAACCCGTCGAATTTTTGTATATACCCTTTCAACTGTGTTTACTAGAAGGGTGCCTGGCTGATGAAGGAGCCATGGCGCCGATTTAATGACATGATACCTACTGGTCTGTCTCCGTCCACGTGTTCCATCAAGTATCTAGTAGAAATGGCCAGGCCGCACCGAGTCACATCTGCTGTACGGATACACATATACCTTGGAGGATAGTTATTAGGCTTTGAAAGATACCTAATTTACAGGCTCGAGGGTATAATAAAGTGAATAGGATCACATCATAAGATTCTTAGTCTACATGCTCTATTACACTCCATCTTTAACACGCCTCCTCATTCTTCCCTACAGTGTAAAGTATCGACATCCGCGTCCTTAGACCTAACGCCTCCTTCCAGGCCTTGGTTCATACAAGGGGATTCCCCTGTATGAGCACTACCTTACATGACTTGGATCTGGTTGGGGCAGTGATTCATCATCCCAGTTGATCACCTTTCTCTTCCGGCTTCTTTTTGGGCTCTCATCTTGCTTTTCTCCAGCCGTATCCATATTCACATCGCCCTCCCGGTCCTGCCCATACCCCACCCCATCATCATTCCCACCCCCGACAGCCTCGGAGACGTCTTTCATCTCAGCGTCCCTGTTATCACCACCATCTTCACCCGAGCCGTCACCATCATCAGCAATACCACCTTCCGCATGCTCGTAACTCGCCCGCCGACCGGTCAACACGCCCAAAACCCACACCCTCGCCTCCCCAATCTTCTCCACCACTTCATCCCTTCTCTTCTCCGCCTCAGACAGCTTCTCCTCCGCATTGACAACCCTTCTCTCGGCAGCAGCAACGCGTCTATCCACCCTCGACATTCCCTCCCCCGGACCTGACCGTGTCGGATACTCCCGCTCCGTAGCCCTCGCCGCGCTGGCTTCCGCTCTCTTTTGCGCGCGGTTCTTCCTCTGTTTTTCCTCGCGCACAGCAGAGGAACATTCCCCGACGTGATCCTCACATAGTCTCAGGTGCAGGTGTAACAACCCTTGCTTTGGTTCATCATCTGGGTTTGCGTCGGGGAGGAGCCAAGGGAGGGAGACAGGCGTGAACAAGTCTTGTATCTTGGCCAGCCGCTCGCCGTATCTCGAAATGATCCAGCAGTTGCCCTGGCAGGATTCCTGGGTGAGCTTTTGGTGGATCTGGGCAGTGTAGAGCGTCGAGGGGTGAAGACAATGGGCGCAGGGAGGCCGAGGGTCGCGGGGCCCAGGCGCGGCGGAGGACTGGTAAGTGAGGGGTTTGCTGCTGGGATGGAGGGTGGTTGGACGCTGGGATTGTGGGTGATCTTGTTCGTCCACGGAGAAGGGGCGCGAGGAGAGGAAGTGTGGTCGTTCGCAAGCGCAGCACTGGATGCCTGCTGGGGTGAGCCGATTGGGGATCAGGTTCACGCCAGAAAGGGTGCAAATTGGATTCGAAAACTTGTTGAGAAGGATGCAAGACAGAATCATCGGTTTTTTGCAGTTCCAACATGTCGATGGTTGCAGCTTGGGTACCTTGTTCTTCTCAGGCTTGTGTGACGCTTTCTGCTTTGTTGGCTTCCAGTCTTTAATGTTTGGAATATCCTCATAGTCAGAAGACGAGCTCTCAAGATAGGAGGAGAGGATTTCTTGCTGGCGAACAGGTTGGACAAGAATCGGGGGTGATATTAGAGGGTTGAGATGGAGCTCGTAGGCGTTGCAAAGTGTTTGACAATTGCAAGACTGACATTGCCACCGACGGGGAAGAATTATTTCGTGTGCGCCGAGGGATATGATGGGTGGAGGTGGGCGTCCTAGAGGTTGGCTAAACCCTGGGATGCCAGATATGGCCAGAATACACCTGTCCGCCATGTTGCCTGGGTAGGTATGCCAAAGTCAGGTTGTGGATGAAATTTGTGAAGAGGGTTGGTGGTGTTAGGTCTTCTGTCGTGGTCGTGGTTGAAGAAGGACAACGTGGGAATTCTGGAGTTTCAGTAAACAAATTTACTTCCATCCTTGGGTGCCTACCTGCCGGCTTTGAATATGGGGCGGCGACAGTGGCAGCGCTGCTAGGTGCTCCGCTCCGTCGTCGTCTCGACGGAAGACCTGGTGACACCCAGCCACCATTCGTAACCTACCATAATAGGTAGCCGATAGACTTATAGACAAGGTCTTTGACAGTTCTCCATTGTTCAGTGGCAGCAGGGATCGATTGTATTTGTTATTAATGGGGACATCACAATATCTTTGAAGAAAAATGGGATAGCAGTTTCAGTGATAGACCCCTACTGTTTCTGTACATGTAAGCCATTTGTGAGTGTAATTGCTTCTGAGACTTTTCCATCGCGTGTACATGTAGAAACAAAAAGCTAAGACCATGTGTACCGTGGTATATTGTGAAATGGTTATGTTTGCTTCGAGACTAAACATATATCAGGTTCAATCCCTATTTGCCTTCTGACCCTACTACTCAGGTGTGGAACACATTCATGAGTATCAGCATTGTCAATTAGCAATCCTCGTCTTGGTTCTCTTCATCTCCCGTTTCCTGATTGTCATTCTCCTCATTATCTTCGTCTTTGTCACCAACATCTAGGATCTTCATTTGAGACAGTTCCATGACACCTTGAGACTTTCTTCTCGTCTCTGGCTTTGTACGAGCCATGCCTCCACCCAGGTTCCGTGCCATCACGGCTACAGCACTTGTATATGAATCCATCTGGATATGCCACCCTGTGATAAAGAGTATCTTTGGGAGATGGGGCACTAAAGGTAGCAATATTCCAGGCAGCGCGCTGCTCATTCAAACTCGAGAGGAGCTAAGAGTATTCGGGTTAGCTGTCGAAAAGACCAACTGGATCTTTCCTTCAAGACTTTAGAACATGAAGTCTCAACTTACCTGAATGGCAGGAGCAGGCAGATTGACCATTAGCCCCTTCATCAAACCTTTTATTGCAAAGTCCACAGATGCGAAGACTGGCATCATCGTCGTTCCTCTTTCGCTTCATACCTATACCAGCATCCGGCTGTGTGGCAACTGTAATCTTGTCCTGGGGCCTTATGAACCCCAACTTCACAAGGCTTTGCATCACCGTCCCCTTTGCAGCACGTCCAGATGAACCCCTCAGGATGTTCATCTTTCTCCGCCAATGTCATCGGTCCCTCTCGCCACTCTTCCCATTCTTCCCATATCTCGGCGTCCTCGTTTTGCTCACACTCCCCTGGAATTGTTAACCGGACTGATGGAAGTACATAAAAATGGGTCTGATAGACATACCATCGTGGTACTCGCACTCTCCGTGCTTGTTTTCAGAGTCGAAAAATGTCTCTTCACATCGCTCACATAAATGAAATTCCGACTGGAGAGAAATTGGTGCGGTTATTTTGACTGCTGGCTTGAAAGTTCCAGCTGCATCTACTCTGCCAAGCAAAGGAATGGTGCATACTTGGTGAAGGGTAGAGAGATATTCGGTGAGGGTCTTTTGCACGTCGCCGTTCTTGCTGCATAGCACTCTGAGCGCTGCCTTGATATGATCTGGTGGTGCATTTAGGATGTCGCTGATATTGTCGAATACAGCCATTCTGCTCGAGGTGAATCGCTTTCAACTTGGTGCTTGTTTGTAATGTGTTGTGTGAGTTTGGGGACCGGGCAAAGGGTGAACGCGTCTGGGAAATTACAAATGGCATGGCAAGATGGCCCAAGCCACCCCTAAGCACAGTGTGAACTTCTCTAGGTTTGACAGCTCGAAAAATAATTATGCTAGTTTTTTTACAAGATTGTATTAGGCTCCTGCATGGGTGACAGAGGTAGAGCCTGAGCCTAGAGATGAAGTAGTTAAGTGAAACACAACGTATCCCCTGTCCCTTTTATGTCCTCTGCTTATTGCTCCTCTCCCTTCACCTTCTTATCACCCTTTGCTCTGTGAGGCCCTGTGGTACATCCAGAGACACCTCCATTAGTGTCACAAACTCACAAGTGTGATAAGTGCGAGCATCGTTTGAGTTGTTGGCATCAGTGAATGCCTGGTCGCAGCGCTCACAAATCTTCAGGTCGTCATGCTCTTCTCTCTCACGCTTGACTGAGATGCCGGTTCCTTGAGCAGAGGAATGCTGAAGGTGATGAAAGAGGTGCAGAGGGTTCATGCTTTTGACTCTTGCACCGTTGTTCCGTAGCTCGCCTGTCGCAACATATCCAGAGGAAGCCCTCTGGGTATTCCATTTGATTGTCTGGAGTGTCCATAGGTCCATAGTGATCTTCTTCATAACCATTCCAAACACTGGAATCTTCAACTACCATACATTCTCCAGTATTAAGCTCAGTATTAAGCTCTTAACACGTGCTGCGTTTTGTCAGAGATTGCTGCTCAGGGAGGGGGGCTTACCATCATGAAACCAGCGCGCGCCATCTTTATTATCAGTTTCTAAGAATGGATTTTTGCAATTGTGCAAAAATTGCAGCTCGGCCGATCAGTCAGGCTTCTGTTCTCTGACAATGGAAAGATATTCGGCAATGGTATCGCATGCTTCTTTGTTCTTGGTGCAGAAAATGCGCAGAGCAGTACCTAGATGCTCTGGCGGTGCATTCAGAATGTCGTCAGGTTTCTAGGAGTTTTCCATGGTTCTTCTTAAATGACTATTGGGCGTTGGTTGTGTTTAAGTTGGCAAAGTGAACATTGCAATGTGAAGCGATAAATGCTATCCTCAGAAGTCGCGTTTGGACAAACGCGTCCGGTAGAGCTGAAGTCTGGGGTTATCTATCATGCCGGACACTTTTCCTTTTTCATTAAGCCGTTCATGGCCCGAGGCCACTGGCATCACTATCATAAGATTACAAATAAATCTGCCAAAACACTAAAACTCAGAAATGTACCTGGTCACTATTTACACACTCCAAACACAGTTCATAGACACTCTTCCTGATTACTCCCGGGCCTCATCACAGCCTTTGGAATCGTCTTCTCCCTCGTATTCCGCTTCCTCATGCTCCGGCTTAGAATCCGACTTAAACCTTCCTCTCTTGGAGTTCTTGCCCTAATGCCTCCTAAATTTACAATCACGTTTTCTCGCCGGGTGTCTTTCCTATCCCTAGGCTCGTGAGCTAGCTCATCCCAGTCATACCAGACATATGAGTCTTCATCAAGCTCTGACAGACCCGATATATATTCTTCTGATGTCCTGGATACAGACAGTACCAATCCAAAAGCCGGCCAAGTTTGTTTGCCACAGAACACGATGTGAAGACTGGATGGTAGAGCTACCTCCTATATCTCACAAAACGGTTGGATTCAGGTGCCTGATAATCTGAGTGCTCCCTCTTCCGCTTCATCTTTCTGAGAACGACAGCCTCCATGTCTGATATCTTGCGATATATAGGCTGTGTTGGGTCCCTGGCTTGATGATGCCCAAGTGTACAGCCTGACCGGCCGCCTTCTTTGTCGCAATAGGTGTACTTGAAGCCAGCAAGGTACAGATCCTTATTCCTCTCATCATCACGAGGATCCCCCGCATCTGAGTCCCAGTCCTCCCACTCCCCCGCTTCCCAGGCGCATTCTAGTTCGCCTTCATGAACAGAAGAAACTATTAGCAACACGGCAAGTCAAATTCGAGCGGTAGACAACTTGAAGGGCGATTACCAGGATGATATCGGCACTCGTTTGCTTGGTGCTTTGACACAAAAAAGCTAGCCTCGCACTGTACACACTCAATATAGTCGTGTTTGACCCTAGGCTTCGGTGCAGGGGCGGCGGCGCGAACCGGAGCCGGAGCAGGCGGGCGGCCAGAAGTAGAGGTGCGAGTGGAAGAGGAAGTATGACTAGAAGTAAAAGTACGACTAGGGAGTAGGAGCCGGAGCACGTGGAGGACCAGGGGCGGGAGTGGTCACGGGAGCTCGCAGTGGGCGTTTCTTCTGGAGATTTTTGAGATGTCTGACCAGCCGAATACTGACCACCTCATCGTTATTGCACAAAGCATACATTGCATCGCGCAGATGCTCTTCCGGCGCATTGAAAAGGTAGTCCAACCTTTCCGCATGCGTAGCCATGATGAAAGAGAAGATAAAGTCGGGGAACATGAGGATGAATGCCGAAAAGATTCAGAGCTTTGAATTTTGAGCAGATATAAACATGCAAACAGAGTGCGCTCGTGGGATTGCAATTTCCCTATCTGAGCCCCACCGACTTGGCAACTGTTGACACCCCTTTTTTTCTCTATTGACACCAAGTCTTTGTACGCCTTCTCACTCTTTACTGATCTTCGAGACCGACCTCTTTCTTTGCCTTCTCTTTTCTGCCAAGGCTTTGTCTTCGAGTAATTGGTGTTTGCCATATGTACAACCTCGTGCGCTCGCAATCTTGTCGCAGCACATGTGTACCGAAACCCTCCAGGCTTGTTCTCACGGTTTTCGGGAGTGTCTTGGAGACCGTTATCTTCCCAAACCCAACCTTCCCAAGTGTATGATGAATCATCCACCACAAGAGACTCTACGATCCGGTTAGTTGAGGAAACTGGAATGTTGGAAAAGGAAGTAGCCTGCCAGGATGATAGCGGCAGTCTCCATCAAGGTCATAATCTCGGACCCAAGCCTTGTTACATTGGCAACAGATATCAACTTCAAATGCATCCCCATCTTCCTCGCTCTCCTCCCCCTCCCCATCATAGGACTGAACCGCCTCCAAAGCTTGCGTCAAGCGTTCCCGGAGCTTCACATCAACCTTGCATTGTGCTTTCAAAACAGCACGAAGTTGACATTCAGGTGCCTTGCGATCCGTTCTGCGCTCCATGTCTCTTGATATTCGCATTCACTGACCGATTCCTCTTCCGAGTCCATCGCTGGGAATGATTTGCTGAGGTTGGTGGGTTTGAGGTGAAAGTTGGGTCAACTTGAACAAACTGGTAAATAGTGTCGAGTTTAAATCGAACTGCACTCGAGCTATGCCCAAGAGAGTTAGTTAAATGAGCCTCATATTCATCTTGGTATTTGTCATTATCGAGAGCCTGCCGAGGTTATTGCTAGTTTACGAAGTGAAAGTTGCAGCACCATCTCTACAGTAAATCCTTCCTTGCACAGTGGTCGCCAACATGGAGTTTTGTGTGAGACGTTGAGGTCTGGCCCCAATCCCGGTTGACCGGAGTCACTCGGCCCGACCATGTGGTGGTCGCCAAACAGTCAACGACCAGACCGGCGGTTTCGGCCGCCGTGTTACCGAGATTCGTCCCACTGCTCGGAGGCCGGGGCCACGGAGGAGTCCTCTTGTCAAAAGTTGAAGTCAGGGAGGCCGGTGACACGTTGAGCCAGACACGACTGATATTTGTCAGGCAAAAGTCATGAAACACACCAAAAGACCACTTTCAGCTGCGATCATCAAATGTTGTTTCTGCGTTTCTGCGTGTTCTCCACAGCAGGCCAGGGAAGTGGCCGTTGGAATGGCTAAAAAAAGGGGGCCATGGGCGGGGTACCGTTGGATAGCTCCGGCTCTGGGAATTCCAGCATCTGGTTCCAGGTTTTCCAGAGGTGGGGCCTTTTTCAGGGGGACCACCTTTTGCCAGTTGCCGCCAATTCCCGGAACGCGCGGATACGAGTGAACACGAGCGAGTTGGATCATGACAAACGGATGAACCATGCCGGCGGACCACAACACACGCACACACACACACACACACACACAGTTCCAGGTTGGATCACCACCTCGGCGCGTGGGTAGGTAGTTTGTGCTGCTGTTACCAGTCACCAGCATGGAATTGTCCCATTCGGTTTTTGATGGCAACATGTGCTCACCTTTTTAGTGCAAAATTGATGCATGTTGTGCCTGGGCAGAAATGGGGCACACTGGGGCATCCTGTCGATCGGCAGTCGCCAAGAGATGAGATGACTTCTTGGGGCTGTGCTCAGCCGCCCTGGCATTGGACATGGACCTGCAGCATGCAGCAGCACCGGCCAGGGGTTGGTTGACAGCCCAGGGCTGCTGTGTGGCCCCGTGGCGTCGAGAGCCCGTAATAATAATTTCGCGACCCCAGCCAGGCCATCGTGTGGTGTTCCTCTTTTTTCTTCAAGACATCTCGACCTTCCTTCGCCGTCACACCGAACACCTTCTCTTGCTCCTTCTTCCTCCATTCTTTGCTCATCCAACCGTCTCCCGAGACGACCACGTTCTTTCCCAACACAACCTCTTCTGACACTCGCTCACAAGTCACAACCGATTTTTACCGTTTTTAAACAGTTCTCGTGTGACGCAATCGCCAAGTCTGACAGTTGCTGCTCTACTCGCGCGTTTGCCACTGCTTCAGCATCATTTAAAACCTCGAGGTCGAAGTTTAGCTCACCACCAGCTTCCCCTCACACCACACACACATCTCTCAACATGCGCGCTTTCACAACTCTGGCAGCTGTGGCTGGCGTCCTCGCCTCGGGCGCCTCCGCTGAGAACTATCTCGGTTTCAACTCGGGATCCACCAAGGCCGACCACTCGGCCAAGTTCAAGGCCGACTTCCTCCAGGAGTTCAAGACCGCTCAGAACCTCGAGAGCGCCCCAGGAACATTCAACGCTGTGCGTTTGTACACCAACATCCAGGCCTACTCCAAGGACGACCCCATCTCGGCCTTCGAGGCCGCCGTCGAGACCAAGACCAAGATCCTTCTCGGTGTCTGGACCTCGGGCACCGATAGTATCGCCAACGAGCTCAACGCCCTGAAGAAGGCCATCGACAAGTATGGCAAGTCTTTCACCGACCTGGTCATCGGCATGTCCATCGGCAGCGAGGATCTATACCGCATCTCCGAGACTGGTATCAAGAACGAGGCGGGCGTTGGTGCTGGCCCTGACGTCCTGCTCAAGTTCATCAGCGATTACAAGAAGTCGGTTGCCGGGACTGCTCTCGCCAAGGTCCCCATCGGTCACGTCGACACCTGGGATGCCTACACCAACGCCACCAACAAGGCCGTAGTCGACGCTCTCGACTGGGTTGGTGTTGATGAGTACCCCTACTATGAGAGCGGCAAGGGCAACCACATCAAGAACTCGGGCAAGCTTTTCGACCGCGCCTACGATGCCGTTGCTGCCGCTGTTGGTGGCAAGCCTATCTGGATTACCGAGACTGGTTGGCCCGCTTCCGGCCCTGACTGGGATGAGGCCGAGGCCACCGTCGCCAACGCCAAGTATTATTGGCAGGAGATCGGCTGCCGCAAGCTCTTCAACAAGGTCCCCACTTTCTGGTACAACCTCCGTGACTCCAACCCCGACAACAAGATGCAGTTCGCCATCACCAAGGATCTCTCCACCAAGCCTCTCTTTGACCTCACCTGCCCCACCACTTTTGACACCCCCACCGGTACTTCTGCTTCCTCTACCGCTAGCGCCACCGGCTCCCAGACCAGCGTGAGCGCCCCCGGCAGCTCTGCCACTGGCGGTGCCGGCAGCACTGGTGGAAGCACTGACTCCGGCTCTTCCGAGACTGGCACCGACTCCGAGGCTTCCAACCAGGATGATGTCGTCGAGGGCAGTGCTTCCCTCGGCAAGGGCCTCTCGGCTGTCACTATCGCCGGCCTGGCTCTCGTTGCCGGTGTCTTCGCTCTCTTCTAAATTTTGGGTAGCAGTCAGTTAGAGTGTGGGTTGGTGGATTTGTCAACAGTCTATAGAGGAAGGGATTTCATTGCATAGCATGGTTGTATGTACATACCATCTTGGGAGTCAACATTTTGGGATTTCTTTTTTCGCGCCAGCTGTCTTCATTGGTCCAGGATAGCTATACCTGCAGTTTCAAGAATACCCTTTTGGCATTTCCTTCTCAAGCAGCCCCTTGTTTTCGTCACGGTGAAGAGTGTCCTGATAGCTGGGCTTGTAGGATGATTTACGGATAGGCATCATTTAGTTTATGAGAGGATACCATAAAATATAGACAGGGAAATGTTTTGGTTTATGCTAGATACTGGCCACCTGATCTGCGCAGTCCCACTACCGTCGACCATCGATAAGGATGTTGACAACAAACAAAAAAAAGAGTCAGCGGTGACGTCACTGATATCGAACATGTTCTCCAACTGATCACCTATCGCGGCTGCCCCCTCCCCTCAATTAAGCTCCCGTCCCTTCGTACCGAAAGCGGCAAAAGTGAATCCCGCCAAGAGGTCACGATAGAGTTTGACTTTCGGCCGTTGAAGACAGCTGTTTATTTGTTTGGGACTGTCTTGCAACTTCCACAAGCCTCAACCGTCATCATCGGCCGCCTGCATGAAGGGGTCCCTTACGTCATTGCCCAGGCAGTCAGCTTTTATACCACTCCGCTCGCTGCGCATGCACCTCCTTCTACATCCAACACACAATATCCCATACCTTGCAAAAAAGACTTCAAGCACACTTCCGGACGAGATTTAACTCCAGAACAGCCATCAGACCACGGACCAGTAACCATGTCACACCCCACCTCTGGCCAGTCCCCCTCGGGCTCCGTCCCTTCCCAACCCCCCAAATCAGAAGCATACAATGCCGGTGCCAATGCCAACCCCAGCGCCGCCCCAATGCACCTCCGACATCCCATGACACGCAACCTCTCCGAGTTCGCGGTAGGCGACACACCCCTCGCAACGGCCTCTCCCACGGCTAACGCCCCTGGGACTGACTACCTCACCTGCCGCCGCAACCCTTACAACGAGGCTTCTGGCAAACCCATGGCGGGGTCCCTCGGGCGAGGCGTTCACGGCGGAAAGCCCACTAGCGAGCGGGAGAGAAGAGCTACACACTACGAGGGCGAGGGTGGGGAGGCGGTGCAGAACGAGAATGAGGATGCTCAGGGCAAGATGGAGACTTGTGGCGAGGGCAAGGTTGCTGATGCGGTGGAACGCACGAGACGTAGGGATACGAGTGGCGAGCCGCATGGGCGAGTGAGGGGGGAGGTGAGCTTCTTGGGGGAGGACGGCGATTTGGAGAGGATGAAGGCAAGGCAGGAAGTCGAGCGGACGCAGATCAAGAAGATGAGGGAGAGGGGGGAGGATGTAGATGGTCGGGGCGGAAAGGAGGAGAGGAAGCCGAGTGTGGAAGTTTAAGGGCCACGCTGACATGCAGTGGAAAAGAGGATGGAGGATTGGAAGGGTGATGTGTATCTTTCAGAGGACGGGCTTAGACTTTTTATGGATCTATTAATGCCGGCTGATGCCTTTTATTGTGTGGTGCCCTCTCCCTGCTCATGTTGCAACCTTGCTTACTGTAACCCTTAGCAGTCAGCATGAAGAACGAGACGCTCCACCAGCGACCAAACCAACATTAATGACTCCTGGCAGGATCTTGTGTACTCCACAGCACTAATGGGGAAATTATCACCACCACGAGCGCATATATCAGACTGATGACCTTGGCATTTCTCAAAAGGGGACCTGTTCCCTTGTATTATCCTCTGTGCTATGCTAGATATTCCTGAGCTAGCAGCATCTATGTATGATCTGGGTATCTAAAACACACAAACGCCTATGCCATACAACGTCTCAAATCCAAGGGTTCGGAATCGTTGTCTCCAAGACAGTCCCATTCGCGAAGATGGTGCCGTTACGAAGAATAGTTGTGTGGCCAGGGTGGAGCTCGGGGGAGGGATGATCGATCGACCTGCCGTCGGCGAATATGATACCATTCCAAGACTTCTCCCCTCCCGCCGACTCAAGATCCCTCGTCTTGACCAACGGACTCTTCAGCTTGTTCACGTCACAGTTCTCACTGATGACGTACAAGTTCATCCCGATGCCCAGCCAGTACATCTCGGCGCTGAGCATGTTCCAACTCGTCTGGTCCCTTTGCTGAACGCCAATGTAGTCCACCATCATGACGTTCGGCCACGACTCGGGGCTCATCCCGGCCACGCCCGCCCAGTACAAAGCTGGGTTGACCTGCTGTATGGCAAAGCCCTGGAGGCTATACGCCGTTGACGCCACCGCGTTCGGGGTGGCGAGCCACTGGGCGATGTGGAACTGGCCAAAGTCCTTGTCCCCGCCGCGCTTGAGGTCCTTCCAGTTGCTGATCTGATCGGGGGCCAGGGCGTTGATGTCTTGTATGTTGGACCAGTGATCCCTGACCCCGATCCTGTTTTGGGCGTACAGCCCGTCGCCGACGGCTTCCTTGGGCACGTCCTTGAGGTTCTGCCCGTTAATCAGGAAGATGACGCAGCCTTTGCCGTCGTTGCGGTCCATGAAGTAGGAGGCCGGTTGGTTCTGGAAGGGGACCGAGGTGTCGAGGTTGGGGCAGCGGTTGTTGACGCCGCGGATCTTGGAGAGGAAGTCGTTCCAGAGCTGGGCGTCCCAGTAGATGGGGCCGCGGTCGGGGGTTTCGTAGCGGCCGATGAGGTAGCGGACGCTGAGGAAGATGAGCTCGCCCGGGTTTTCGCGGGTGAAGAGGTTGATCTCGGAGATGACTTCGTCGAGGGACTCGCCCGAGTTGCCGATGCAGACCGTGGCTGTTTCGTCGTTGACGTGGAGGGTGTGGAAGCCGAGGTTGCGGGCTGGGTTGTTGTCGTCGTGGACGGAGCCGACGCGCAGGTCGAACCAGCGGGCGCCGGCGCGGAGCTGGTCGTAGATGTTGATGCCTTGGTTTTGGGTGTTGAACGAGTTTCCGATGCTCCTGATCTTGTTGGTAATCTTGGACATTCCCGAGTCGTGGGTGCCTGGGAGGAAGAGATGGCGGACAAGCCTGTCTTTGATGGTGTTGTATATCCAACGCATCCACCCGCCTCTGTCGTGGCGAAGGGAGGCATAAAAGCCGTATTTGGAACTGCCGGTTATGACCAGAGTGACCGAGGACTCCCCGCCGGGGAACTGGTAGATGCGTTGGCCTAGGTTCATCCCGGAGAGATCGAGCGTGACGGACCGCTGATCTACCAAGGGCCCAGTCCCCTTGACGCGCAGAGCAAACTTCTTGTCGGTTCCGTCGATACGGTAGTAAGCCTCGCCAGCATCGTCTTGAGTAGCAATTCTATTGCGATACTTAATCGCGTTCTGTCTGCTTTTGCCCTGGGGAACGTCGCCAAAGTCGAAGGTGCTCATCTGGTATGAGTGGGTGTTTTCAAGAATGAACCGGTGGGGAGTCAGGTTCACGACCGAGATGTAGAACTTTGGCGAGAGCTGGCTGGCCGGGCTCATGAAGACACTGGCAGGCTGGTAATTCCCGGCTGGTGTCTGCTCGGTGCTGAAGGTGCGGTCTTGGGGCTTGCAGGCATCTTGAGCATTTACCAGCAAGCCGGCGAAGCTGGCCACGAAGGCCAGCGACTGGAGGATTCTCATGGCCGTGGTGAGGTGAAACTGGCTGGCTGGAGGTGTTCAAAAGGAGCGACTGAGAGAGAACAGAAAATATAAAGAGATGGATAGCACTGCCAGATCATGGCCATGAGGGACAAAATACCTGCTGGGAGCAAGTGGATTGAGACGGGATGGGATGAAGTAAATTCCATGTTTTATATCAGCTCCCCCCTCACCCACAGTGAATCAGACCCAGCTATTGCTGAGAAAAGGGGGATGGATGACCCCTGGAGCATTCAAGGAGGCTGGCCATTGTCTTGAATTTCCACCCAGATGTCCAATTCGGTGGTCGACCACCTCATGTGGCCGACTTTTTCCACAACTCCAATGGAACGTATCGCCTCAATCCCGTCCCCTGAACAATTTCTTCTCGGCTCTTGGATGACTTTTATGGAAGGAGTTCTGCTTGGTGCCAGCAGCAGATCGTGGGGAGGTCTCAGTGTCCAATCACCTGCCATGTCGTCTCCAAGTCCTGTGACGCTAACACCCGACAGGTTCCTGGAGTTGCTGGAAGGCGCCAAAGTGGCACAGATGCCGGCCGAATCAGAGGCCTCGGAAGGAGCTGTCAAGCGGAAGGTGCAACGTGCCATTGGGTACTTTTGGCCGAGTGAAATAAAGTGAAATCCTACACCGACTCCCACAAGATCCTACCCACTGATACCTACCCACTGATACCTACCCACTGACTACAACTCCTATCCCAGACACTTCACATGCTTTGTGATATAGATTGAATGTCTGCCTACTCTCTGTCTTTTGAACCTTTCCAACTGCACAGTTTGATAAAGCATAAATTTCCCCTCGAATTTGAGGTGGATAGATATTTTCTCGTGAACCAGAACGGGAAAATGGAATTGTGCACTGCTGCAAGCAGCGCCAGCCACCATGCATGTTCGGAAACCTCCGTGCCAATTATACGACAGGTGAAGTCTTCAGCACAATGGTGCTGAAGCCCTGTCACCAGGCACTTTCTCGGTTGATGTTGTCTCTGGCTCATCGAAAAGAAAAGAATATGACAGACAGCTCCCTTTTCAAAATCCCGTTTTGAGGGCACTTTGATTTTCGAATACATCACAACTGATGCACCATATGGTTCTCCGTTGACAATGGCAACATATCAAATCCCCGGAAACCAACAGGACCCCGCAGGAGACTGGGAAGCTCTGATCGTCTGCCCAAGTCTACATGATGACATGCTGCCAAAATCTTCCCTTGGGTACTCGCATGCGACTCTCGCCGCAGTCCCTCAAGAAAATCCAACAAAATCAGCGGTACACGACGAAGGCGTATATCGGGATTGTTTGATGAGGCTTGTTCAGGCCAACTTGACGACGATAATTCAAATCAGCATGGGTTGACACCGCATACAGGGGCCTGTTACCCGCTCACCTTCGACAATATGGAACGTTGGACAAATGCTTCGGGGGCTGTGTCCTGCTCGATCCAGGTTTGGATGGAACAGATGAACTCTCTTCCATCCCTAGTATTGAGGCCAACCCCAGCAACGGCTACATCGCAAGAGCCAGAGCTCGACATTGCAAACATCCCAGATCTCTTCAGAGGTTTAGCGCCAATTGGGTCATCAGCTTTGCGAAAACCTGCTTTCATCTACCCAATGACGTCAGATCTAGAAGTTGAGGATCCTGGAGGTGATGCAGTTGAGTCCAAGGATGTTCAGATGCCACCACCAGCGACAGCTCAGGCCAGCTCGAAAAATCTGAGACCTTCAGAACCAGCCACTACAATAGAAAATTCGTCTCGCAAAGATGAGTCTGGCTGGGACAATCGGCTCACAGATTCAAGCTATGCCTCCGCAGTTCATCAAGGGAGCCAATCGTCTCTTCATATCAACAGCTCAGCATCTGGGAAATTCTAGAGTCAATCATCCAGCAAGCTCACCGACACGCTCTTTATCATCGATCAGTGTTAGGCATGTGTCTAACCTGAAAGCGAAAATGCTTGACTTGCAACATGGTCCTGTCGATTCTTGGGTTGACACTTCAAAGCTTGCAGTGTTTATATCGTCCATGACTGGGTAAGTGTATTTTCTAAGCCCTCGCGTTTTCAATGCTAACATCAGCCACTCCAGCAAACCCAAAACCTTTTTCATCGTAAACTACAAGAGGGTCAGTGGACGAAAATGCCTGAGCCGGCTATTCGAGTGGATTATCTCATACGTTCACATCAGTGAGACGAAATGCTGGATCACGGAGTATCCGAGCCCACGGCTGTCGTCAATCATGGAACTGTCACACTTCTTTCGGGTACCGAAACAGTCACCAACTCAAGGCCATCTTGCAGATTTTACCGCCAAATGGACCACATGGGGATCGCATACTAACTGTCCAGTCCATCTCAGTTTCGAAGCATCGTCAATACTGAAAGGTCTTGCATGCTTGTCCCAAATTGCTGAGCACCCGAGTCTCAGGCAACACCACTCGTACGCCCTCGGCCCCAGGATGAAAATCCTTGGCGGATCCTCGAAAGGCATAAACTCCCGAAAGGGCCCATATGGATTGACCAAAACTCTGGGCAGTTTCTCTCCTCCAGAAATCCCTTGTGTCTCGAATAATCATGAAGAGATCTTCTCCTGGCTTCAGACATTGCCTAGCTGCTGGCGGTGGAGTTCAAATTAGATCCTTCTTTTCCAAACACCTCAGATCTGAGCGCGGCGCACTTCCTGATTGATCCACGAAGCAACTCAGACATCTCTTCATATTCATCAGAGATGACGATTGATTCTTACATGCTATCAATCTCAGATACACCAAGCAGTGAGGCTCAAAACCTTTCCTGCCACATGCACTCTGGCAGATACCAATCGCTCACTGGGTGCCTTGCTACTCTGCTCTACAAGGTGTTCATGGATCAACTATCTCGGAATATCTCGGTGTCTTCCCGCCCCAATGCTACCGGAAAGCAGCCTCGGAACGGCTGTGATTCTGGACACCCACAAGACGGAGGAGATTCCACCCAAGTAGCAAATGGGGAAGCACCCAATGGGTCTTCAGTGTCTCGAGAAAGCGCGATATCTAGTTCCGAGGCTCCTGCTTCACAGCCGCTTAAAAGAACCCGTGAAAGCGACAGCAACGAAGACGACACCCCTGACGGCAGACGACCCCGGCGAACTAAGGTCCAACTAGGGGAGCTACTCAACTCGCCGAAGTTGCTCGCCTGTCCATTTTGGAAGCTTGATTGTCAGAAGCACCGAAAATGCTTCAAGAGTGAACTACATACGGTTAGCCGAGTTAAACAGCATCTTTCTCGAAGACACAGGCCGACGTTCTACTGCGATCGTTGCATGGTAATCTTTCCCGACAAGACCAGCCACAACCGCCATCTGACGCAGGTATGTATCCTGGATCCGAATGCCTCCCTGGACGGAATTAGCCATCTCCAACAGTGGGAGCTGTCGAGGCGATCAAACCGAAGTCTCAGTGAACAGGAACAATGGTTCGCAATTTGGGACATTCTATTCCCCAATCAGACCAGGCCCATGTCAGCCTATATGGACCATCGCTTGTCCGAAGCAATCTGCCAGTTTCATGAGTTTACGCAGCGTCAAGGCCGCGTCATAGCGACAAGGGACCTTCAGAAAAGTGGTGTTCTACGCGATATCTCAACTTCTGACAGCAAGAACCATCAAAGCTCAAACGACACAGCAAGCGCAGTTACTGAAGCAGTCGTTCAGTGTGCCTTGGGTCGTGCTCTCGACCTGATATTCGAAGACTGGCTGGCGGACGCACCGGTTGAGGCGTTGCAGAGGTCGGAACTGTCATCAACAGAGCCCAACGGATTAGAGGTCCCAAACCTCGTAGCTTCCTCCAGCTCCGTGGCTGATAGTAGTGTGACACTGGTGAACAACCACACACAACTGACCCAACCCGAACAACCGGCACGCAGCCCCCATGTTGCGCCCTTGCAAGATGACGCCCCGGTCTTCCTTGATGCCAAAGGTCTTTTGTCGGAAGGCGCTCTTGTTGTTGCAAGCAATGCTAGTCTAAGCCAAGGGTTTCCAGAGCCGACAATGATCAATCACACTCAACCCCTAGACAACACAAGGGCATGAGAGAAAGACACAAACGTTACGCTTGACATTGATCGCCATTTACTTGACATAGGCGTACCCATAATGGGCGAACTCGCTTTGGGTACACATGTTAACAGAAGCCCGGACTGGAAGGGTTCGACTGGGTCATGGGAACATACAGACATGCTGAACACCGCCCCATGCGATGAGGCAGGGATGGGACTATTTTTCGATATACAAGCCTTCAGTAACCAACAGTTGTTTTGAACCTATCTAGAAATTGAACAATTGTTTTGTTATCAGATATGGGAATTCCAACGAACGCTCATTAGCGACCACAACGAGAATTTCGAGATGCCGCCTTGCTCCTTCGAAACAGGACTTTGATAATGACTGGTTATTGGTGAGGTTGAGAATGCTCCGGCGATTATCAGCGCAAACTCCGCGTTCAAGTTGAAACCGCAATCTATCATCATAATCCAAATTTCCATCTCGAACGATGGATTTCGTGGTGGTTGGATGTCGGTGGTCTGACCCCTTACGACCAAGTGGCGTCATCAGACCACTGGGTGCCAACACACAACGCACCTCGCCAGCAACAGCGAATTTCAACATGATGATGCAAGCAGTATAAAGGTCGGACCCAGGGTCTCCATTTTATTTTATTTTGGGCCAAAAGTCCATCGAGCTATCAGAAAACACCCATTCTTCAACCCAACGCAGGAAAAAAAACGCAACCCGCGATCAAGTGCCAATGACCACCGAACTGCAAGTTGATGCCGAGGTGACACTCTCACCTCCATCCACCTTCCTATCACCATGCTCAAAGTTCCGCATCCTGGTGCTGGGTAATCCAGAATCTACCAAACAGGAGCTGTTTTCCAAGGTTTTTGGAGTCGAGCTTGAAAAGGTGTGTCGACCCCTGCTTACCCCTTCTCACCTCTTTCGATCGAAGCGCTTGGCAAAACTGACCATGTATACGAGCACGCAGAGACTAGTCTCAGACACATTTGATCCCAAACACAACATCGAGTCCGAGTTGGATCTCCAAGGCCAGAACGACCGTCTGGCTGTTCACGCCTCGCCAAATTTTCTGAACGGCGATCAGAAGAATTACAACCGAGTGCTTGAGTTCTTGTCCAGGAGCTCGGCCTCCGCCGACCACACCGAGCATGTACACATGATTTGGTACTGTGTATCAACCAGCGAGGAAGATCGAGGCATCTCGGATCTGGAGAAGCACTTTTTCACACAAGACATCACCTCGGTCCACGTCCCAGTCGTGTTGGTGTACACCAAATACGATGAGTTTGTGAGCCGGGTCATGTTGGAGTGGATGAAAGGGGCTGGATCTACCGAACGCGGTGTTTCCAAGGTTGCGGTTGGCCATATTCTCAAAGACATATCTTCCAAGAAGTTTGAAGAGGATATTGGCCGCCATTGGAACATGATACTCCCGTTCTCTATTCCGAGAGTCTGTGTGTCTTCTGGTGACGAGGATGATGATATTCGCAGCTTTCAACAGCTGGCAAACAGTATATTAGCCAGCTTAAAGGGAGAGGCGGACGTCAAGCTTGCTTTTGCCACGGCACAGAGAAGTTCCCCCGTCATCTCGACCCAATGTAAGTTTCTTACTTCAGTATTTCTCAGCATCCACGCTGACGCTCTCTCAGTCTGCGCCGAAGCAGCCACAGACTACTACGAGGTCGACACTGGCCACGCCCGCAAGATCCACGGCGTCGACATGCGCGACATCCTCCCCAACTTCTTCGCCAAAGCCGCCCAGATCTTCAACCTCCGTGACCCCTCCTCGGTCCTCACCGACCCCTTACTCCTCAACCGCGTCCTCGACTCAACCTTTGGCACCCACCAAAAGCCCCTCCTGGCCGAGTCCCTCCGAAGAAGCGGGACCGAATCCGGCAGCATCCTGCTCTCGCTCTCCCCTCACGAACGCGCAGTGTTGCTGACCCAAGCCCTCGCCGGTATCGTTCTTTTCCTACACATGCTCGCCGACAGCCAATGGCCCCACGCCGAGACGTTACCTACATCAGCCCCCTTATCACCAGGGTACACCTTTTCCACGCCCACAACCCCCCACTTCCCATCCCACTCCGGCTCCGTCAACACAGACCTCAGCCAGCGGCAAATCTCGCGCGAGCTGGAGGATCTCCGGCTCGGGACGGGAAAGTCCATCCTGCTCGACACGATCGAGTCCTCGTCCATCTTCACCGAGTGTCAGCTGAAGCAGGACATCTCCGAGCTAATCCTCAAGGCGGTCACGCTGGCGGAAAAGTCAGAGATCACCGGCGCGGGGGAGAATAACTACCGGTTTGCGTACCATCAGCATCATGACGCCATGTTCTTGGAGGGGGGCTACGGGGGTGATGAGGATGGGGTGGGGAAGGGGACGGCGATGGGGGATAGCTTGAGCGCGGCCGACATGATTAGGGATATGTCCATGACGTTTGTGAATGATAACATTGAGCTCAGGGAGGGGACGGCGGGGGAGGGGAAGGTGAAGCTGGCGTGTGGGTTGACGATTTTGCCTTTGAACTGATTTTGTGAAGAAGGGGTTCTTTATTGGGGGTGTGGGTTTGGGCTTTGGGATGGTATTACATCGCAATGGCATTTCTTTTGTGGGGTTTGGATAGGGTTTAACGGTACATACATCCCTGAGACTAGTTTCGTTTCATACATTCAAAGGAGTTTTGTGATCCAAACTGGTGTCAAGAGAAAATGTACCTTGGTCCATCACTGAGCTCGCAGTGAAGCTCACTGTCATTCATCTCATGAAAATGTATACACTGATCTGAACATCCTCCATATACGCTGCACTTTTCGCGCATCCCTTCCACCACTCCTGCCATTATCATCTCACATCTCTGGGGTATCACATCCATTCAGTCTTCCCTCTGCATTTAGCAAGTGTTGATCATGCTCGTAAGAGCGCTCTTCTCAGCGCTGGTGATGCTCAGACCATAAGAGTACTTGACGGCGACCCAGCTCTTGGCGTAGGTGCAGTAGAAGCTGGTGAGGGGAGGCTTCCACGAGTCGGGGCTCTTGTCGCTCTTTGCCTGGTTGACGTTGTCGGTGACGGCCCACAGCTGGGGGGTGTTGAGGTCGTTGGCGAACTGGGTCCGCTTGGCGGCGGTCCACTGGTAGGCGCCCGAGATCCAGGCGTTCTTGAGGGGGACCATGTGGTCAATGTCGACGTCGGAGGCGGCAGTCCAGGTGGCGCCGTCAAAGGGAGAGTACCATGTTCCCGAGGTGGAGGCGCAAGCCGAGTTGGTGACGACGTTGGTGCCGTCACGCTTGAGGACGGTCTCGCTGTGCAAGGGTCAGTATACCTTGATCAAACATGAGGGGTCGGACAGCGTTGAGATGGTGCCTACCGAGTGTTGCAAGCGCCTGAGACGGTGTTCCAGTGGGGGAAGAGGTCACGGTTGTAACCGCCGTTGTCATAGTTGGCCTTGACAGTCAAGGCGTTGAGCTGGGTCTGGGCAGTAGACTTGGAGGGGATTCCAGGCTGTTGTTCTTGTCAGTTGTCTTCTCTTCTCATGGCAGAGACCATCGACATACAGGAGCAGGGGCGGGCATGGGGATGGCAGACGCCACCACCGCGAGGACCGAAGCGAGAAGGAAGGACTTCATGTTGACTGATGGAATGCTGGAAACCGAGAGATATATTAAATGCAGGAACCGGTGGACAGCGGGATGATGCAGTGTGAATCTCTTCCCGAATCTCAGGAACCACGAGGCCCTCTATATACTCTTCAGATGCCACAATGAGCCACGGCCGATCTCCCTCGGTACCTTTGGACAATTGCACATTTTCGTAGGGATCCCGAGTCGCGAGGGCACAGCAGCTGTCGCTGCTTCGCTGACTTCCCGCATCCCGATGTATGCTCAGGACCAATCCACAGTCATAGGAACTCCTAAATCATCAACATGTTACCCCATGGCTCGCGATACGTGTTACACCCCAGACGGGACCGTGTTCCCTTTCTGGAAGGCGATTGGGGGTTTATGGTCGATCGCCCAAAGTCTTAGCACATATCCCAAGTACCGCCAATTGTCTCAGATGTAATTCAGACCTATCCCGGCGGACCTGTAAGATCCAAGAAACCCCACAGAGGGGGGCTCTCCCTCAGCTGCCGCCCAATTCCAACCTCTTCCCAGTGGTAACCAACACCGATATTGTCCACCCCTGTTCATCCCAACTGTGCAACCCCCCTCCCCCAAGTCAGTCTAGACTTGACATCCAGTCAAGATGCAAGATAAGCCCACGTCGGGAAGGTTGTGGTGGGGGGGGGGGGGGGGGAATCCAAGAAAAAAAAAGATTCTACGGCTCTTATCAAGGGTCCGATAACCCCTGGCATCCCCCCGCAATCTTGGTGCTCCAACTGCCATCCATGATGCATCACCAACTGCCTATTCGGGAACTGCCGAGCGGGAACCAATGGAGCCCCAAACCACCAATCACCCTCCTATGCAGCACAACGTTGCCGCGAGTGGTAATCTTTTTTGTCTCCCATTTCCCACTTCCCGCCGCAACGGCGAGCGGAAAAAGAAACACCAACCAGAAAGCCATGCGGGAAATTCCCTCGCCAAGACCACGCCTTCACCTGCAGCATGCACGAGATGCCGGACTAGGTATCGTCGGACGGGGTTGCCAAGCTTGACTTAAGAGATTCAACGTTGTAGAGAAAGCACGAGCTGTAAAGATAGGCTGCTGTTCGTAGACTGATCTGCTATCACAAGCCACGTTTTTGTTATCCTGATGGCTGCTGGCGCGGAGACATTTGGGCACTTGGGTGATAGCTGACGACGCAGGTACGCAAGATACAACCCCCCCCAACTTGCTATGAATAGATAACCTAGCTACAGATCAAAGATAAGCATCATACAAAAGACGGAACCCGCCGTATAACGAAATAGAAATTCGTGGAGGTGGCCGACACAACCATCACTTTGGCACCGTGATCCCATCACCACCTGCAACTGGACCGACGACCCCTGGTTGAGCCCCCCCGCTGCTGGCATCGCCATCACTTTCGTCATTCTTAGCTTCGCCAACCCCTGTTGGCATGCCGCCGTCCTCGGGAGTCTTGGGTGCGATCGTGGACCCGGTATCGGACGACTTCTTGGACGCAAACAAGTTGATTCTCGTGGGTATCGACATGCTGGGCATCGGAGGCATACTGGGCATGCCGACACTGGGCATGGTCGGCATCGACATCTTGGGCATCTCGACCGATGGTAGTTTCGACGGCAGATACGACCGCAGAGTGGTGCTCGTTTCTTGAGCAACGCCGAACAGATGCCGCAGATAGGCCTTCTTTTGCTCGCTAGCCTCGGTCTTTTCCCCGCCCTCGTTGCCGTCCAAGTCATCCGGTAGAGGGACCAGCGTGGCGGCCGCGGCGATGTCGATGGGCGATTCATCAGGGACATCGTCGTCTGCCATCTCTTGGTCCTCCTCGCCTGTGGCTATCTCAACCGCCTCCTCGGGTGGTTTCGCTACTCCCTCCTCATCGACGGCTTTGGCAATCTCCTGCGTCTCTTCCGACTCGGCCGGGATGGGCTCTGCAAACTTTGGATCGTCCCAGATCTCGGCATCATCATTGAACCAGTTGATAACAAGCTGTGCGGCGTCGTTGGTCATCTTCTCATACTCCTTGTTCTGATCGGGTTTGAAAAGATTGATGTGTGCTACAATCTCGTCTTTGGCCCCTTCGATAACATGTCTCGTGAACAGATGTTCCGCCGGGTGGTCTTTGGCCGGTATGGCACAGAATGTTCGCTCCGGCACGAAGTAGCCTCCGCTCCATTTCCCATTTTCGCCGAGAGACGCAAACACATCCGAAAAGCCGACCCCCCTCAGGGAAGCGAGCCGCTCGAGTCGACGATTGAGCTCATTCTGCTTCAGCAGAGAGCCTACAAAGGTGAAGTGGTCCGACAGGTACGCAAAGGACTCGCCAATGTTGCCCCTGTTGACGTACGCGAGCCCCTGGCCGAGCGCATCAACGGACTGCTGGTAGCCCTGGATCACGTCCTCCTTGGTCAGGCTCCGCACCGTACGCATGCCCTCGATGATCTTTTTGCGGTGCATGTAGGCGGCCACTCCGCCAGCAGCAATGACGCCGACGGTTCCCGTGCGCATGGCGATGAGCTGCCAGGCCTTCCACGCGGGACTGGAGGATCTCTTGACGATGCGGCCTGTAGCAACGCTAACGGCACGTTTGGAAGCGAGGCGTGAGAGGGTGGCTGGTGCGGCAGCCGAGAGAGCCGTCATGACGTTGAACACACTGCTCACTCTCTGGTAGTTGGAAAAGGCGCCGTACACAAACATGGAACGCGCAAGGCCGTTGTAGGGCGTGTCGAATGCGAGTATGCCTTGAATCAGGGGAAACATGGGACCGGACGCGTTCTCATCTTGCCGTCGTTCATCGAGGATGCGGAAGAGGCAGTCGCTGGCGACAAAGCCACTGTAGTTGTGTGAGCAGGTATGCAGGCCACGAAGATACGATGATAGAACATACCCCATGGAATGAGCCACCAGAATAACACCAACGCTACGATCGTTGGGCGGCCATGGATTGTCGAGATGGGTCTTGCGCAAGTCCATCACGCGCTCCTTGAGCCTATCAAGGGGTTAGTCTTGGCACCTGGCGTGTCGCGTCGTGGTCGACATACCATTCCAGAAAGGCAGCGGTGCTTTGCGCAAGCTCGCCTTTGGTCTCATATTTGGGATAGACAACAGAGGCAACCTCGTGATCCGGTAGGTTGTTGGTGATGATATCTTGGAGGTGTTTGGGGAAGTTGCCAAACGTGTCGTCGTCTCCCTTGAGTCGCGCGCAATGCGTCCGTCAGCTTTGAAAACAGCAATAGAAGATTTCAAAGTCAAAGAAATGGGGCACCGACCTTGAAGCCGTGAATAAAACAAAGCAGTAAAATCCTCTTCATTGCTATAGCAGAGCTTTAGATAAAAGAGAGACGGTAATACTGATGTGTCTCCGAGATGCCAAAAAAGATGTTGCAGGATGAAAGTGGATCAGAGTTCCAGCTCCCGCAAGCGAAGAGACAGTTTCTTTCCTCTCAGTCCTTAGTCCCATTTCAGGTTTCTGGCATTCCGCTCTAAAAGATGGCAGTCGCGTCCAGGGTCGAGTGGCGTTTATGCCGCGTTTGCAGGAGTTACCCATCAGAGAAAAAGGTGGTGGTGCAAATACGTCATCTTTCACGTCATGCGCGCACCAAGTAACCACCAGCTTCAACTTCATCCAATGAGCAACAACTTGAACACAGATAAACAGCACTCGAGATGGCTTCATTTTAAAATGCTTTTATTCTTGTTTTTGATCATATCATGAATTCATAAACCCATAAATCATACCCGTGTGCTTTTGGTCTACCACCATTCCCATTTTCCATTGCCGTGATTGTCCTTTTTCTCCCATCGTATACCTTTGCGTGTCATCATTCATCACTGTTCACGGCTGTACTTTGAGCACTGCCGCCACTTTGAACCATATCTCATCATCAGAATCGGGATGGGCGCCAGCATTAGAGTGCCACCCGCCAGGATGCTGAAAGCCCACCCGTACCCAAACCTCTCCATCAACGGAGCCGTCGTAAGAGGAAGGAAGGTGCCGCAGAGACACCTCGTCACCATGACTCCTGTCAGCGCCGAGGCCGAGTATATGCCAAAAGCGTCAACAATATATGTCATGAGGGGGATCATGGCCAGCATGAGGCAACTGCCGAGCAAGCTGACTGAAAAGAGCAACAAGAGAAGAGGGAGCTTCCACTCGGGGATCCAGCCATAAGCTGCCACCGCGACGGGGAGAGCAAAAGCTCCAATGATGGTCAATGGAAGGCGGAATTCCGGCTTGCCAACTCCCTTGTGGGTGTGTCGCATGCGGATGTAAATTCTGTCAAGGCAGTGATTGCATAGCAGGACACTGACTGTAGATCCGATTGCTGTAGGATGTCTAGTTAGCATCAACGTGTATAAGAATAGTCTGAGCAGGGCCAAACTCACTGAAACTGGCATAGCAGCTCCCAACCGCCATCGGTGACAACCCATAAACATCCTGCAAAATATCCGCCAGCGTGGTGCTCATCACATAATAAAACGCAAAAACCACCGCTCCAAACAAGCTCATGGCCATCAGCACACCGCTCCCAAGAAGAACATGGGCCGGCCTCATGACCGCATCACCTAGCTTCTTCCACACCCCCTGTTGGCCAGTGAGTCCTTTCTGTTCTCCTTCGACCCTGAGCTTAACTTCCTCTTCGTAATCCACCGCTGTCTTGTACCTCTTGCCCCATCTCTTTGCCCGTTTCCTCAAAATGGCCACCTTGTATGTCTCCCTGAAGCACAACAGGAACATGAGTTCTCCCAGCGACGCCAGTCCAGCTGTCATCCAAATCACCTTCCTCCACCCGATCATCTCAGCAAGCGCACTGCCAATCAACGGGGCTACCGCTCCGCCGACAAGCGGCGCCAGATAAACCAACGACACGGGACTTCCTCTCTGCTCAGAAATGAACATGTCGCCCACAATGGCCGGGTTAAGCACGTTGCCAGCAACCACACACCCCGTCAGCATCCGCGCAACAACCAAGCTCGTGACAGACTGCGAGGTGGCCGTCATGATGGTGGCCAGGATGAAAATGATGTTGCAGACGTTCATGACCGGGTACCGGCCGTACATTTCCGAGAGCGGTGCGATGAACAGCGGGCCAGCGGCTTCGCCCAGCTCCCAGATCGTCACGAGAAGGACAGAAGATGATTTGCTGGGCGTGCTTCCTGGTGGCGAAAGGTCTGCGACAATCTCGGTCGCCAGAGGGACGAGTGAAATGCAAGTCATTGTGCTGCGTCTGATGTTAGTTTTGATTCGAAAGAGTGGCTGCGCGGAACCTGGTAAAAAAAAAAAACATACACAGTAAAAGCCATAAAGGCCAGAATAAACACAATAGCCCATTTGAACGGTGTCGGCCATTCCAGCGGGTTTTCTGGGTCCCCAGAGGGATCAAAATCGATGATTATCGGCTCATCGTTGCCCCTGTTGTGATGGTTATGAGACCCGAGGAAGGCGTCATCTTCGTCGGCGGAATCGGCAGGTGAGTCCGACGTAGCAGGTAGACAGGTGTGATAATGGTGACCTTCGTCCGTCACACTGATGAGTAGAGGTTGAGTTTCCGGGGTTCCGAGGCGTACGCTCATTTTCTCGCTGTTTACAACTCTTCCCCCTATCAAAAGAAGCGTTTTGAACACGAACACAGCCCAGAGGAAGAAAGGGAAGAGGGAAAAAAAAGAAGAGAGACCTGATCGGTCTTTTTGTCCTTGAAGGATTGGTGATAACGATTTCCACCCTACATGTACGCATACCCCTCCTGTCCTTTTTTGAACATGGACAGGCGGTTCGGATCCAGACTTGAGTCTTCCCCGAATCGATACAACCGTCAGCAGTGGCCGGTCTCGCCGTGTAACCCCTGCCGTGGTGGTGGTTGAAACTTTTTTTTGTGCTTGTCGCTATGCAGCCAAGAGCAGGGGGATCGCTGAAAGGGCGCCGCTAGTGGAAATATCTGGGAGAAAAGGCGCGGGCGTTGCGACGCTGATGACCAAACCAATTCACAATGGCAATTGACACTGTGTTTTTGGGCCACAGCAGATGGTCTTACTTCTGAGATGCTGTGCCTCCAGTGTCTTCAGCGGGTGTTCAGTGGTCTCGGATGGCGGATATAACGTCGACTGGATACTGTATTGAACTGTGTTCTGCCCATTCATCACCCCACATTCTAGCAACTTCGAGATTTTCTCCAATGCCCAGCCTCCCCCTCCACTCACATGAAGATTCACCCCTCTCTACTGACCATGTTTGGTGACTCCCGTGTTCCGATATGCCGTCCTGTTGCGGAACTTCCATCCACCGTCTGCACCTCAAAAAGACCCTTAATCCAATGCACGGCGCCCTTCGGATAACAGCGGCAATCCAAGGTATTTTCCCCAACAGATGCTTTAAAGCAGTGGCAAATATGTCGTCAAGGTGGCTCGATGCTTTCAATGGTGTGCTTCCAGTGTCCCATCCACGATAGTTATATCGAAGGGTTCACACCCTGGATACCCAATTCTGTCGATCAATTGGTGAAGCTCAATGGTTGGTGCTGAAGGCCGATCTGACCCAAGGGTGGCGCACCACCGAATGCAACCCCAATCTTCAGCGCTTGTTTCCCCCGCACCAGAGCGACGTTGGCCGCTGGGAAATGGAAACCTGGCATGTCACGGCCTGTCACGGGTTAGGGTTTTTCAATCACCCCGCCCCCTTTCCCAGCATTCTCCTTGTTGACAAACCCCTGAAAACAAAAAGAGGAAAACTTTTGTTGGTCGGGTGATGTTCTCCCGCAGGAGTCCATTTTGAGGGGTTTAAAGTGTATTCATCATGAGCCCCTCATGCCACTCTTCTCCATAATCCACTGCTCAACAACCTCCATCCCCCTACTAATCTCAGCAACAGCCACAGTGAACTCATCCACCTCGTCCGGAGACGCATACTCCAACACCTTCCAAACCTCCAGGCTCTGCATCAACGCCCAAGGCGACATGGCACCTTCACCATCCTTTTGACCGCGCAGCGTATTCCCCTTCCTGAGAGCCGCGCACCACTCCTTCCCCGTCGTCGCATCCCACAGCCCATTCACCCCACTGAAAAGAGCGCCCCCAGGACACACCGACCACTGCGTCTTGATGGTCTGATACACAGACCGGACAAAACTGACAGAAATGTACGTCCGCCTCACCGACTCGGCAATCACCCACACCTGCCAGAGTGTGTGCGGTGCTGGGTTAGGAGGGAGGGCGACCGGGTTGTGCGTGCTGCTCGGCGGGGTGATGGCACCGACAGACGTGTTTGAGCTGGTCCCTGTTTTGCTGCCCCGTATCAAGTCACTGTTGCCAGACGGCGACGAGCCAGATGAAGACGCGGACGACGCATAGGCTTCAAACACCTCGCCTGTGGTGCAATCCAGTCTTGCGCTCTCCAACATCTGGCACGCCCAACGGTGCAGCGTCTCCATGTACGATTCTGCTTGGTCTCTGGAGCGAATGTCCCCGTCAAAGAGCTGAGTTAACTCGTAAACGAAAAGAGATTGCGTCCGGGCTAGGTGGTTGAAAGTGCCCAGCATGATGTTTGATGCATCGAGGCTTCCCAGAGGGAGATTCGTGTTTGTGTTGTTTGTGTGGTCAAGATGAGAGTCTGGCTGGCTCTGAATGAGGTCTGCTGCTCGATCTTGAATGATCCGTAAGGACAGTTCTTTGGCTGCTGGGGTGGCCGCCAGATCATAAGCTGCTCTCGCCGTGTAGGCATCTCGTATGCACTCGGGCATCAAGTCCCGGTAGAGATGGCGGTGCATCAGAGGACTGTGGCCCTCTTTTACCCACAGTTGGAGCCATTGTTGGTGCTTGTCGATAAAGTTGGGAAGAGAGTCCTGGCTGATAGCTACCTCGAGCTCGGGCGGCAGGCTCATGATGTGCGCATCCAACAGGGTGGAACGGCGCCAAGATCCAGGAGAAAGAAACCATTGATAGGGCGACAACAGTGGTGGGCATCTCGGATCGAGGTCTGTTCGTGCTTGTGATATGTCTGGGTGCTTGCCTTTTTCTGTACTGAACCAGTCACTGGTTAGAGTTGAGGAGGCTCCCGGAGCTCTCTCAGGCTCAGTCAGTAGCCGTGAGACAGCCTCATCGTCGTCAGCAATTGGTAGTGACGTTGCTCCGCCACGACGAGGTGGATAGACGCAGACTATCTCTTTTTCGACGCATCTCCTGCACCAAGGCGTAGACTGGTCGCATTTCCTCTTCGACTTCGCACAGGGGATGCATGTTTTTCTTTTCCGATTACGCCGGAGCCGTGGCCTTGGTGGTGATGTTGCATCTGATGAAGGCGACCCGCTCATTTCGATAACAGCTGGAAACCTAGGTAGCCTTAGATAAAAGCCAGCATATAGTCGGGTGGTTGGATGAGCGGGGGTAAATCTAGAGCGCTCCGGTACTCGAGAACTATCAACCCGGTAAGCCACATGATGTGTGATGGATGAGAAGTAGTCGCCGCTCACCCGCGCCAAGTGCTGACTGAGCAACCTGATCTAGCAAGGAGCGGGCCTAAGCGGGTCAGACCCAGACACAAAGGGGCCCCCTGAGAGGCTCTGGTTTGCTTAAACCCGCTCTCGCCCGCAAGTCATCTGGAACAACGCCAGATTTTTCATCAAACTCATAATCATCGGCGATTGACGCACAACTCGTCCGCTCACTCGGCCACAGAAAGCCCGCAACTAGTCCATCGCTTATTAAGTTGTGCTGGTCTTGAACGCCTTTGTCAGCAATGGAGTCGATGATGGGGTTATCTGAATTTCTTAGCCGGTGTAACGATAAAAGCTCATGAGTATAAAGGGAGGCATGTGGCTGTCTGATACAAGAGAAGATAATCATTCCTAAAAAGCAAGCACAGCAAGCAGTGCCCATACCGCATTCCTTTACACATATTTGGCTCCAAATCTAAAACCATGGCTGTTAGTCTCTCACTCAACTTTCCTCCCATCAAGACCTTGCATAGAGAGTCTTACCCAGCAATTTCCCCTCTCGAACCCGAAAACAATCAAGCGGGCAAAACAGTCCTCGTCACCGGCGGCGCAGGTGGCATCGGGTTTGCTATCGCGACGGCCTTTGTCCAGGCCTCGTCCTCGCATGTCATTATCGTTGGTCGGCGCCAAGGATTCCTCCAAGACGGCGTCAAGCGACTTGAAGCTGAGGCTCGGACTGCGGGGACCAACACCAAAATCAGCGGCTACTCCTCAGATGTTTCGAGCCTGGAAGCAAGCGAGAAGCTGTGGGCTGAATTGAAGGAGGATGGGATTGTCGTGGATGTCTTGGTGCTCAACGCCGTAGCTCTGGGCCCTGGCGGGGCACTGGTGGAGGCCAACTTGGAAGTAGTATGGAAGGCATATGAGGTCAACGTTCGCTCGCTTCTGGACCATACCCAGCGATTTTATAACCAGCAAGGTAAAAGGCAAAAGGTAAGCGACATCATCCAAACCATGATCAAACCTTCTCGCTGATGTTCTATGTAGTATCTGGTTAGTGTCTCTTCCTCCATGGTGCATAACCTGGACAATGAAAACTCCTTCTTGTCCGCGTACGGGGCAACGAAAACTGCGGGCCAAGTTTTGTTTCAGCAAATTGCCAGGGATGTAGACCCAGCAAGGCTGCAGATGATCAGCTTTCACCCTGGTGCCATCTACTCAGATGGGGCCCGAGAAGGTGGCGTCACCAAGGACATGATCGATGTGTGGGATGATGGTATGTTCTGTCTCTCCAGGTCTTGGATCAATGAGGGCGTCGAGGCTAACTTGGCAACAGCGGCGTTACCTGGTAACTTTGCCGTGTGGGCGGCCACACCCGCGGCCAAGTTCCTGCATGGCCGATTTCTGGCAGCCTGGTGGGATGTAAATGAGCTGAAGCACGATGCGCTTCAGGAAAAGCTCAATTCTGAGTGGCACCTGCTAAGAGTTGGTGTGAAAGGACTCTGAGACCTGGGTGGTGGCACAGGCCTGTTCGGTGTGTTTGTTCCTGTCAGAAACGTGGTCTGCGGGCTTCGGAGGAACTCTTGTTGTTGAAATTGAATCATATGACTAGAGAGAGTTAGTCTGACCTGCTCGAGACGGTTTGCGTTTAATAAATGGCCTGAAGTCCTTTGCTTCAATATCGATATTCTCATTTGTTGCTCTTCGGAGGAAGACGTTTCTGAATCGAGTCAGAAGAAAAGGAAACCAGCGCCCTAAACGACAAGAATGGCTGGCCTTACTTGTAGGGCTGATGAAGTCTTATTCAAAAAGCGCCTAGTGGGCACAAGGTGGCAGCATACACCTGCACCCGGGATTGGCTGTTCAGTATTTTGTGCTGTCTCTCTGCTCCCACGCGCCAGGTTCGAGACCGCAGTAGCTGCCTGCGGGGAGCCGGTAATGGAGACGCCACGAGTGGCAGGGCTGATTTCGACTGGACCATGAAGGGTGTGGTTGACTGTGATTGCTGTCGAGGTTCAGAGTGGCTTTGTCGCACAAGCAGTGATCATCCAATCTCTGTCTCTAATCCGGCTTGCTTCGCCATCCCGACGCTTCCTGAACCAATCACATCTGACCTCGACCTCAATTCTCCCGACGCTGATTTGAAAAGCTGTCGACCACGCCGCCGCTGCGCTTTTCTCTCCACCTCCTCGGATGCCCCTCCAATGTCCACCGGGTGGCAGAAGCTGAAATGGGGAGGACGAGACAGCTGTCGAAGCCCAATGCGAGGTATCTCGTGTGCTGCGGGATGGGGTGTCGGAAACCGGGGTGCCACGACATTCGGAGTGAGCATCTCTGCAGATATCAATGTTTCCGGGGCCTTGTTTTCCGGATCAGGTCTTTCCATACCCTGCTGTGCTTGTGCCTATCTGTCGCGTTTTCTCTCCACCTTACCGACGACGTCTTCTCGCTTTGTGGCCATGTGTTGAAGCGTTTGTTTTTCTATTTTCCTTCGAGCGATAACCCGGAAGTCGCACAACCTAGACTTCCCTCCTTCCTAGTTCCTACCCACGTACTTGCCTCACTCAGGCTTTGCCTCTGCGCGCCTTCCCTTCTCGAACTTCGGACCATCGGCCCCACCGGCTCGGGCGGCCGCTGACGTAAAGAGCAGGAGAGATGCTTTCCCGACGGCTTCAACCTCTCGTCTTTCTCTTGTTGATATCATTCTTGTCCCTGTCAGTTTTTGCACAGTATGATCCAATCAAGGATTTCTGCCGACGCCATGGACATCAGTCGGCCGTTGTCGACAATCGACTGTACATAGACGGCGGGTTGGTGAACTGGAAGCCATTCACCTCGTCGTCTTCAAATTACACAAGTATGTTTGATCTGCTTTGCTCTTAACAAAATGGACCTCTTCTGATGCCTACATACCTACCATCCAGATCCGTTCCTTATCTTTAGCGATCTCAGCACTGAGACCAAGGATATGCCCACGCTGCATGCCAACCTTTCCAAAAATGCGACAGTTCCAAGCGTCATGGGCGGCAAGTTGTGGGAGGATTCGGTCAACAAAAGATTGTACTTGTACGGCGGCGAAACCTACCAGGCACCCCCAACCAACTTTCTCCTCTACGTCTATGACATTCTCAAGGACAAGTGGGATTCTTTCGGCCCGCCAACTGGAACGGCAGCTATCATTCCAACGAGCTTTGGAGCCGGTGTATCGATCCCGGCACGAGGAGAGGCGTATTATTACGGCGGCTTTCATAACAATGGCTCCGTTCCGGGCTGGACAGGGCCGCCGCGTGCATCTAACAGACTGATCAAGTACGACATGGACAGCAACGCATGGAGCAATGTGACCGGCCCTGATGACGTGAGAAGGGCCGAAGGCGAGATGGTCTTTCTTCCCGTTGGTGACGCCGGCATGCTTGTCTATTTTGGTGGTAGTCAAGACTTGTACGGCAATGGGACCTTGACACCCGAGCCTTTGGACACCATCTTTCTCTACGACCTTGCTAACTCGAAATGGTATGCGCAAAAGGCAACTGGAAGGATACCAGAGAGTCGACGTCGATTCTGTGGAGGTGCTACCTGGGCTCAAGATCAGTCCAGTTACAACATGTTTGTGCTTCCAGCTACTCCCAAATCTGTATCACCTAGAGGCTGACAATCTGTAGCTACATTTATGGCGGTTCCGGCTTCCCTCCAAGCACGGCAGGATTCGATGACATCTACGTCCTAACCATCCCGAGTTTCCAGTGGATCAGGGGTCCATATCCAAAGGACAGCAACGTCACCGGTCCGTTTCCAAAGAACATGATGAGCTGCAATGTTGTCAATAATGCTCAGATGGTCATCATCGGCGGCTCGAACTCCAACGCAACAGGTTACGAATGTGACGTAGACACGGTCGGGGGGCAGCACAACATGAATCTTGGTGAGGAGAACCCAGAGAATGCCATTTGGGCAAGATATCAACCAAAGCTTACGACATATGCCGTGCCTACTTTCATCATGTCGGCCGTGGGTGGCCGTAACACCGGAGGAGCTAGGGTTCTCACACCGTCCGGCGGCTTCAACGCGCCAGATCTCTCGGTGTTGATGACCAGGAAAGCCGTCATATCAACTCGAACACCTACACGAGACGTCGGTCCTGCCACTTCCTCGCCTGCCCCGACCGGAGAAGGCGAACCCGCACCACCGTTGAGCCCCGGAGCCATTGCAGGGATTGCCGTCGGAGGCGCCGTGGTTCTCATCGCCCTTCTCGCCGGCTGCTGCTGTTTCATCCGTTATCGCCAAAAGCACTACAAGGGACCTCGCCAGCCAAACCAAGCCATCCCGCCTCACGGTTGGGGACCATCCGGGCCCCTCACGCCCGCATCTCCAGCCGTCACGCAAATTTCCTACGCTCACACCGTTCCGACCCAACCGCAGTCGCCGGTAATGCTCCCATCTGTCCCGGTATACCCCCCAGCAGAACTCGGCGTCAATGACAATGCCCATTATCGGACAGCGAGAACAAGCCCAGCGAGTATGGCAGCGAAGCACGACAGCTCACCCTGGGGCACGCACGCGTCAACGCCGCAGACATTGGAACCACCAACTCCGGCAAGCGGGCCTTATCCGGCACGATCCCCGTCGTACACGGAGCGGGATCCGAGAGATGTGCAAACGGGTGCTCCGTACTGGTCTACGACTCCGCCACAGGTACAGCAACCGCAGTTTCGACCAACGCAGGACGCTCAGGGTGGGAACGCGTGGTTGGGTATTCAGCAGACATGGCACAGGCCAGGATCATCTCATTGAGAACCGAGTGTTGTGATATATCTGAGAAGAGAAAGGGAGGTGTTATGTTTCATGATGTCGTGCATGAGTTTTGGTATATGGGTTTCTTGGTTTGGATTTCACACATTTTATCGTCATCTTGACCCGGAGGTATAGGGTGTATGCTGTATAGTAGTAGCACATATGGCTTTTTATCAATGGAGAGACGGTTGATGATTCACCATTACGATTGCAGAAAAATCCCGCCCTAAAAATAGTTCCCACGTGTATGGAAATGTCTCTGGAGGTGCCAAATTCGAGAATCAACTGTTTTTGGTAACCTGTGTCGAGAAATCGGTTGGGTAGAACATGGATAGGAGCAAAAAAGGGGTTGATTGGCCTTGGCAGGTGGAGAAAGGTAAAAAGCCAAAAGTGTACTCTCCCGCCGGGAATTGAACCCGGGTCTCGAGCGTTGTTGACTGGATGACAAGCTCACATACTGACCACTATACTACGGAAGATGTACAGGTGTTGAGCACCTGTCGTAGTGAGAGGATTGGTTGCAAGGGATGGGTGGAGGTAGTGTATATAAGGGGAGTATACACGATCCCATCCCTTGAACCACTTTGCGATCCACTTCCAGCTCAGGCCTTCCTCGTCAGATATGGAGTGAAGCAGTGCAACCTTTCAGCGATGAAGTGCGCTGGACACAATACATAGGCCGGCACTGGGGTTTGGTGGCCCAGTTGTTGCCTCCGAGTTATTATCGCCAAGTGGATCCCTTTGTCTTGACGTCATGGCGCCCCATTCTAGACTTTCTATCAAAGCCAAGGGTTTCGATCAACAATAGTGACGACGGGTGACGGGTTGAGTCTCGGAGCCACGGAAGAACACCTTACTGTTGATGATGGTAAGCAGTGGCGGTTACTGTCGTCATCTAGTTGAACGAGAGTAAACTGGGGACGTCGGTTTGTGTTGGGGGAAAAAGTGAAACGCCGCAGCAAGTAGCTGCTGCGATATATATAGGAGAACCCTATCTAAATCTACCTGGTAGGAATAATTGAATATCTTGTATGCTGAAATTATATCCGTTAAAGCAAATAGCCCCTCAAAATCCCTCCAAAAGATGCCATATATCCATATGGTCAAGTCATCGAGACCCAGAAAAAGAAACAAAACCCAAAAAGTCGCACCGTAGACCCGGGGCTGACGTTGGAGACCCTATAAACTCCAACGCTTCCAACTCGAAAAAAGACGAGTCATTACAAAGCCGTGTGGCATGTATTATCTTTCGGACACTAAGCCCAGGCTCCAACTAAACTCATGCAAATGGCGCCAAAAAGCACAAGGAAGCAGGCCGCAACCCGCTTGCGACCGCGGAGGGTAGCCCAGCTGTCATCACTAAGAAAGTCCTCCGCGAGCAACTCGATGAGGGCGGCAAAAACAAGCAGTCCCGATGAGATGGCGTTCATGGTTCCCACCAAGATCAGGCCAAACTCAGAGTCGGGGGCGTAAAGAGTGTGGGTGGCTAGACCAATAGCTTGACCAATAGGTGTCCTGAAGACGGCACCGTTAGCTTCATCTTCTGTTGAACACACCGGCTGTTTGATAATAACACTTACGTGCATCCATAAGCCAACACCATGAACCATGGCTGCAACATCCCCTTTTGCCAGTTGATAGAGGCAATACGAGCTCCCAATGCGAGACCCTCAAACGTTTCTGCAATGATATGTTAGCATTCTTGTAGTTTTGAGACAAACAGGAAAGCACTTGCTACTCACGGTGAAAGGCAACAGCAATTAACAAGACGACAAAGTTGCCGCCGACGGCGACACTTAACGCCATACCAATGAAAATACTGTGAAACAAGATGCCGACCTCGAGAAGCATGCACTGCAAGATCTTCTTCTTGTGTAGCTGCTCCTCAGTAAGGCCGACTTGCTGGGATTCCACAGCGCTCCCAAGCAGTTCCTTAGACCTCATCTTCTCATCTGGGGAAACGGCCGGGGTTTCACGCCCAACCGCCACACTCTCCTCGGAAACAGGCTCAACAACAGCCTGGCTTCCCCGGCGAGTGGTCCCCGAAGGCCTCGTGATAGCAGCCAGTACTGGTGCCTGGGAACAGTGGCCACCAAAGGACGTAGACCGGTGACGATGGGGAAGCTCCTCTTGCGCCTGTGACCCATCACTGTCCTCGGCTTGTCTCCCAGGACGAAGGGTGTACTGACGAGCAGGGCTAAACACCATCTCGATGACGGCCACGAAGAAAATTCCAAGCAGGGCAATAGCCCCCGGCATAGCGGGGTAGTCATCAGTCCAGAAGCTGGAGAGGCACGGGTCGCCAAGAGAGATGAAAGCCGTCGGGAGGAGATGCACGAAAGCGGTGGCGAGCAGGACACCGGTACCAAAATGACGAACAGCGAAAAAGAAGCGCTCGGGGATGCGAATGATGGGGAACTTGAGGGCGATCATGGGCAGAGCGCAAGCCAGTCCGGAGACGGCGAGGATGATAACCAGGGCGCCCACATGAAGCGGCATGTTGTAGTCGGCGGTAGCATTGTCATTTGTACCGCAGCGACCATTGTCCTGGCGCTTGGTGAGCTGCTTCAAGAGCAGAGAAGATTCGCGGGGAACAACAGCACTGGAACTGGCGGTGGTCGTCTCGACGGGATGACCACCCGAAAACATGACCGGTACACCGTGTCCGGCGACATGCACCATTGTCGACACAGCGACAACAGAGAGAAGCCATCCAATCCAGCCCGAGGGGGGCCGGATCAGAGGCTGGGAATGACAGGCTCGGCCTTCACCACCTAGCACTGTCTGGGGGGCTGCAATGGGCGGATCTGTGGTGATTTTTGTGTCAGTGACGTTGAAACAGGACGCCAGCTGTGTCGAAAAAAAGGGACAACTTACGACCGCTCATTGCAGAGGGATTGCGCCCCCAAGCGCGGGTTTGCTTGTCGCAATTTTTGATAAAACTCCCCTTCTCGTCATTTAATACCCCAAATGCACTGGCTGCCCCTCCTGATGCGCCATTGCGCTGCTCGCGGGCGTTTGCGATGCCATTGAGGTCCTCGCAAGTGGTGAGGTCGGGAGCGAGAAACGGCGGGTTCTGGTTCCAATCAGGATGCTCAAAGTCATCGTCTGTTCTCGAAGGGCGGTTCATGATTGGTCTTTTGGTAGGGTCTGCTGTGGTTTCCGTATATCAATGGGCGGCTCTGTTCGAGCGGTCTGCTACACAAAACAATCGCACGGCGGAGTATGAGAGACTTGACGGATTGTGGCTTCTTTATGTACTTATGTAAACGAGGAAAAAGACCAAACAGTGGATGACTGACGAGCTGACTGGGTTTATTTCTTGATGAACAAAAATCGATCCGCTTGCAATGACAGCAGGTGGGGCACGGCTGAAGGGCCAGCCCACGCTGCCCACCCGTGGCAGTGGTGTCCTTGAAACAGACCCGCTTGCAAGGACGCATCCGACAGCAATACGCCCTTAAAGCGAGCTCCCTATTGGGCAGCTCCTCGGGACCACAGCGGTGAGGTGTGGGGTCGGAATGTTACGGAGCGTGTGCCAAGATCGATACGAACTGCTGCGACACTCGCTCTATGGTTGGCTGTCTTGTCAGGTTCTTGGAGGACGACGGGATGCAGTCGTGAGTGTGGGTAGGCGAGGTGCCCAGCCCTGGTAGAGGTGCTGCGAAAATTCAAAAACCTTCTAGAGCGTCTCAGTGGATTCCAGGCCTTGTCAGTGCTAAGAATATCGAAGCACCTTGATGGCTGCCCCAAGCCCCAGACCAAGCGGCATGTGATTGGATGCCCCGGAATACGCATGACAAGCATCTGGTCATGAGACCAACACAAGCTGCAAGAAGGTTGTCCGTGCCCAATCTCCACCGGGTTAGGGTTTTCAGTGCGCTTCTCCGCATTGTGGCAGCCACTTACACCGATTTTTTGCTTCACCCGAGACTGACAGGACTGCCCGCGCTTATTTATATTATTATCCCCATACCAATACACCATGGCGCCATCTTCAACCATTTGAGATTTTGTCTTACACTATCAGTGACAATAAGATGAAATGGGGGCAGTCCGTCTCTCTGCCGTTTGCGCCGTCCCCCTCCCGCCTCTGCAACAACCAAACTCCATGGTGGACCTCGGCGTTCCGTAGGGCTGTTTCTTGCAATTGCGTACCCACCACGGGATCGCCGTCGGCAAAGGGCCAGCACCTTTCCCCATATCAAATTTTCTGGGGTAACGGGGGCGGGAATGGATCCCCGGCCAGCTCCCGAGATCCCCCGGCCAAGACCCGATGGCCGGCATGTGCTCGGCAACTCTGCAGCCCCTGTTCCGGAAGCCACCGGTGACACGGATGTCGTTGAGGCTCGTCCACAAATCACAGCTGCGTCCGGAGGAGTAGTCGGCGGATGCCGGAATCACATCCTGCAAGCTTCCAGGTCGCCTTATCGTTGCTGCATCTACCATGGTTTCCGCCGGTGCTGCCACAAAGCTTGTAGCCAGGCACGATAATCAGGGCTGATTGGTGTGTTACATTGTCTATATCCTATCATCGTCTATGTTTCGATTGCCGGGTAGTCTATCTGGCCACATGACTTAGTTTCGGAGTGGTTTGCCGCCATTGTCACACTAGCAGCACATTGTATTCAACGACGGCAATTCCAAAACCTCTACTATCTTCAAAAACAAGCTATGCATTAACAAAGTTATGATTAGGATCCTACGCTGCAGTCTCCATTTGTTGTTCAACAATGCGATTAGCAAGCTTCCACTTGTATGTTTGCTGGCCTTTGCCTGACCAGTTGTTTAGTAGTGCATCATGGTCTACCCCCCCTTTGCCTCGTACTGGTCGATCTGTCTATATGACTTTTGTCATCTCACAGGTCCTCACACTCAACGATATTATCCTGCCAAACATGGGCAGCAAAACAGACTGATATATGAGTCCGGTATATGACTGGTATCAAGACATCGGTAGTCTCGGCGTTCATCCCAGTTTTCTTTCAGGGCTTTCTATGAATCTTTCATATCTCCGAGATGTTTCTTCTTGACGTATATGGTCGCACAGAAGGCAGAGATGTATAGAAAAACACTTTGAAGTCAAAGGGTAGCTCCGAAATGATGGTCTATGCCAAACGAGTTTTGACTGAGGCCCTCCTGGCTATGTGATGAGACATGGAGAGATCTCGTTGGGTGTGATGATTTGGTCTCGGCATACCGTAGGTAAATCGGCACAGCAACCGCGTCAGATGAAATTTGGTGCAGGTGAGTCGGCGCAACACACATACCCACTGTGCAAACTTTCATTGGATTTCTCGATTGTGGCTTGTTCTTGCTGTCGACCACAATTCACACTTTGACTCAGCCACTGAGCCAACCTACCAGAATTGGCCGTGAGAACCGATACTGAAGAAGTTTACAATTCGATCAAAACTCTTCTCTCAATCATGAGTCACTGGACCAGGTGGCCAGGAAATACCAGAGGCCTGACAATTGGATATCGGCGTTGAATCACCCAGTGACGCTCTACACCACTTCAAGTACATGGGAGCAGGTGGAACGACTCTTATCTTCACCTGAACACGATCCCTCTCATGGCTGGGTTCTTGCTCGACAGGTCTCGCCGCCACCACCCGGAACCCTCCTGATGCTTTCTCAGGGGCCCTACTCCTTTTCTCACCGAATGAGCTCTCTTCAGCAAGAGGCGCCTCTTGTCTTGATTGTAACAGCTCTCAAGATCCGGCGGCACACTCGTCTGAGTTGGAACTCGTTCAATCTAGCCTTCATCATTCATCATCTGACCCCCCGGGTCTACAAGAGACTCTTTACGAACCATGGAGAGGATGGAGCGACAGGCGGCGCGGGCCTGGGTTGACCGACTGCTTCCCAGCCATGATATCCCATGTTGCTTCTGTTTCGTTTGCGCGTAGCGAGCAGAAGCTGAAATCGCTGGTTCTCTTTGAGGATTCGAGGGAAGTTTACGTGGAATCGAGCAGGGCGGGAATGCGACATCAGATCAGCCACAGCCACGTGCTCGCGCAGACGGCCTACTATCTTGGCTTGGAGCATATGGAGCTGAGGACTCGAGTCATTGATCCGGTTTCGCAGGCTTAGATCAAGTTTGAGGATGGATTGAAGATTTGGAATGTGGAGTATGGAAGCTTCCCTTGAGTTTTAGGATGGTAAAGAGGTACCTAGTCCTCTATCTGGTATACATGTAATTCATATCATTCTGATCATCTGGCCAACTTACACCACCCTGGCAAAGAAACCCTCCACTTCATCAAGACTATCCCACCCCAACACACTTCCCCCGGCCACCAACAGAGCCCAGAGCTCTTCCATACTCCCCCCGTGTTCATTGTCTCCCACAGTTTCTACCCTGAGGCTCGACCCATAGGCCAGCGCCCCGACAATAAACGCCAACGCGAGGATCACATACCCCTCCGCCTCAGCAGCAACCACGCTCCCAGGCGGCTGTCTGAACTCGATCGTGCCCCGAGGCTGCCGCTCCCCTTTATTCACCGGCGCCGACAGCATCCCAGTGAAGTCCCTATCTCAACCTTGTTAGCCACATCATGCATCTTTCACGGTACAGCGGGCAACACAAACCACTTGTACACCTTCCCCCTAACCCTATCCTTCTTCCACCCATGCGCCCTCGCATAAGCAGACTCTTTTGGAAACAAATTCATCGCCTCCACCACACCGTCTCCGTCCTGGTAAGCGCCGTCAATGACAGACATGCACTCCCCCAAGCTTAGCCCCGCGAGGGCGGGATTCAACCGATTGGATTGGCACCAGTAGCCCTCCCCGCGGGAGGAGGGGAAGAGCCGGTCGAGACTGGCTTCAAAGTAGAGGCAGGATTTGGCAAGGGATGCGAGGTCAAAGGGGGTGAAAGGGGAGGGGTAGGACTGGGAGAGGTGGACGTGGGTTGAGCAGTGGGGGGAGGGGAAGACGGTGTAGTGCGTGTGGAGGAGGGAGAAGATGGTGGCGAGGGTGGGGGAGAAGTTTGTGGAGAGGGGGGAGAGGACGGGGGAGACTAGCTCTATGCCCCCTTTTTTGTGTGCATTGTTAGTAGGCACGGACGGGGATGTACAGGGGGTTTGGGGGAACCGAGAACATACAGAGGTTCTTTCCTGGCTGACTGGGGATAGTCACTTCCTGAGTGATGGACCACTCGCGGTAGTTGTGAGCGGATTTGTCATTGGAGTCGTTGACGTGGTTTGGGATGCCGGCTTTGGCTAGGCGTTTGCTGAGGTCTTTGGCAAGGGACTTCCAGCTGGAGTGAGAGGGACCTTTTTTGCGAGGGCCGAGGAGAAGTTCAATCTCCAAGCCAAAGCGGAGGGTCGGGGTTGGGTTGGCTGCGTGATTCATAATAGAGTAAGAAAAAGTGAGGATTTGTGTGATGGCAATCATGTACAAAAGGGTGTTCCAAGATAACATTCCAGAGGTGATATATCTTTTATATTTGATTCCTGATCATACAACCTCCTATCCAAGGTAGATACCTCGCGGGTCTGCTTCTTGAAACAGCCTCATGTTCGTCGTCCCATGTTGGATGTCAGGCCATTCCTGTCCGACACAGTGGACATCACAATGCTGCAACAGTGGAACAGCTGCGTGAGAGCTTGTACCCAATGGAACCACCATCTTCACAAGAAGCCCAAAACGAAGCGCGACCGGCCTGCAGTTTCGGTGTCTCCTTGACCGCATACTAGGTAGTCCTGTGATGAGACGACCAGCGTTGCGCCCATTATCATATGGGCTTGAAGACACACTAGGATGCTGTCAACGAGACTTGACCGAGAGGTATTGGAAACAAGAAATTCAAGCGGTAACGCACTAGCGGCGAAGCTAAACATCTTCGGCGTCACGCCCGTGATGTGGGTGCTAGTAGGGGGCTAGAAGAGACCAAGACAGTGCCGACAGCCATGAGGACATTGTATACGCCGACCAAATCACCCTGTATTTCTCGGTGTAGAGTGTGGACCTTGGGGCCGGATATGTGATCCTGACAGATACGAAAGGGGCCGAAGCAACGTCTCAGAGCGCTTATTAGGTAGTTACCAAGACCCCAACGCCACGAGGGTTACTATATTTGATGTTGAGAAAGGAGCTGCAACTGCTGTCAGATTCGGCAAGCTGGATATCTCTCCGGCACTTGGACGCATACAAGCAGCCTTGCCAGGCAGTCATGAAACCTTGATCCCGGGGGCTGGGTCTCTGCGGCCGCATAGAGGTGGGCGGCCGCCATCAAAGGTGGTGTGGTGGGGAGAACAAGAGGCCAATCAGTATGAGTTTTTGAAGATGAACATGTGCGGCGGCTGCCACACCATGTCGAGGGCTGTTGGTACTCGACAACGTCGTCAGCAGAGCCGCAGGATTGCTCTCGGTGAGAACCAAGGTGAGGGTGTGATTGGGATTGCATTGGAGGTGGTGTTTGCAGCCACTGAGGCGCCAATGATTAGAGGCCGTCTTGATTGGCCGTGACTATATCAGCATTGCCAAAAGAACAGTGGATTTCTTCTTCCAAGACACCGTTGAACCAGCGAGCATGGAAGGTGGAGCGCGATAAGCGCCGAAGAAACGCAAGTGTCGCCAGGATCAACCAAATAAGCCTCGTGATCGGACCACAGGAAAGATCGCCAATACTAGGATTTGATATGGTTTTGTCCTAACGATGTTTGAAATCTGGACTTGATCATAAGCTGTTGCAACGCTGATATTAAGCCACGAGGTAGCCCGGCGTGGAAGCTTGAATCTGCTCGCACTGTGAATCTTCCCGTGACAAAGCTGTCAGTGACTTTCGATAGTGAATAATGATATCAAGCGAGTGGATAGATATAAAATGGAAGTGAAGGGGACTGGGTTTTCCCGCGGAATTGAATAAGAATCCTGCATTGAGACTTGGAAATGGCCCACGATACGGTCTCTTTTGTGATGTAGCGACCATTGGAGGCATCTTGGAAATAACTTCATCTTGGACCCCACTTACAGGTATGTAGAAGTGGTTTATTTAGATTTTGGCACAAGAGTTACAAGTTAAGCGTTTTGGCGTTTTCGCATAACCTTCCAGGTTGGCTGTTGAGAACTAAAAAATATTCTATACCGGTATATAAGAGTAACTTACTCCCACAGAGAACCCAGTCCCAAGAAGAATCCTTCACCCTTTGATTCACAATCAGTTTCACCATCCATCCATTCACAACAAACTCACTATTCAACCTTCAGACAGACAAAATGATGCGAGGACGTGGTGCCCCACAGTCTGAACAGAGACAACCCCACTCTCCAGGAGCAGGGGTAAAGCGGTCGCAACCCCGCAATGGTATGCCCTGCTGCTGCTGCTGCGAACTTCCAAGGCGCATCCCACTCAATTACTCACATCACCTCTCATAAAACAGGCAAAGATCCCAATACAGCTTCAGAGGGAAAAAAGACCGGCATGCGATTCGCCTCACCTCGCCAGACGGTGGCCAGCATAGATGAGACCGAGGGGGTCGGCCTCATCATCACTGAGCCAGAGGATCTATGGCACGCCAACAACCTCATCGCAATTGGCGACACCGTCTATGCCCCCACCAACCGCAAGGTCGCCACCGAGACTCTCACAGGATCAACATTCACTCAAAAAGTGCGCATCGAGCTGGCCGTCAAGGTCACCGACACCTCTTTTGACCCGCGCGCCTCGGAACTTCGCGTGGCGGGCACTATTGTCAACGAAAATGAAATCGCTGCCGTGGGACAGTACCACACCATCACCCTCAAGCACACTGATCGCGACATCAAGTTTACCATATGGAAGGAGCAAGGCTGGGACTCGGTGGCCCGCGCCCTGCTCGCAGAGGCTGTCAGCGAGACGGCCAACAAGGACGTGGTGTTTGCAGTGGTGATGCAGGAGGGAATGGCCAATCTCTGCCTGATCACCGAGTCAAGAACATTGGTCAAGCAGAGGATCGAGCACACCATCCCCAAGAAGAGGTCGTCGCGCAAGGAGGCCGAGGGAGGCATGTCAGACTTTTACGGGAAGATTCTGTCAGCCATACTCAGCGCCATCGACTTCAACGAGCGCTCCGGCATCCCCAAGCAACTACTACTCGCCAGTCCTGGCTTCGTCGCGCATAACTTTCGAGATTACATGAAGGAGTATGCCGAGAAGAAAGCGAACAAGCCACTGGCACGGTTGGCTACCGAGGCGGCCGTGATCCACACGAGCACTGGACATGTGCACAGTCTCAACGAGGTGCTCAAGAGCCCCGAGGCACAACGAACCATGCGAGACTCCAAGTTCACCAACGAGACAAAGCTGATGGACAATTTCTACCAAAAGCTTCGGCAAGACGATGGGAGGGCGTGGTACGGTGTTCAGCCAGTCGCGAAGGCCATCAGAGAAGGTGCCGTGGGCCGTGGCGGCGGTGTGTTGATGGTGAACAGCGCCTTTTTCAAGAGCATGGACGTGGCGGAGCGGCAGAAATATGTTGCACTTGTCGACAAGGTCAGGGAAGATGGCGGCGACGTTAGACTGCTCAGCAGCGACCACGAGAGCGGCCAGCGGTTGGATGCATTGGGCGGGATCTGTGCGCTCCTGACATACCCGTTGCATGATCTTGACGAGGAGGATGAGGAGGAAGATGCGTCGGCGGCGGGGACGACAATAATATGAAGCTGAGTCCGGTGTTTATCGGCAGACGTTGGCCTGCGGTGGGTTCCCGGCTCGGTAGCTGGTGGTTCTGATGGCGCTAGCATCGGGTGCTGCCGAGGGTTTACAGTTCGCTTAACGACCTGGAACTTGGTACAACGTCATCAACATGACATATCTAGGATAACCAGGACCTAAGGGAATGCGGCATGAAGTTTGATGTACAGGTATAGATAGACAGAGTGCAGATTTTAATATCCAACAGCAAAGGACAATCGATTGTATCTTTGTTTTTATACATTATTCTGTCCTTGATGACATTTACAGAGTAGGTACTCGCGGCGCAGATCCACAGGGACGGGTTTCGGGGATTGAGCTACCGTTTGCGAGCAGTTGAAACCCATCGACGTTGATGATGTAACCTGTTGAACCACTGTTGAAACAAACAAACATCACACCATCCTCAAGTTCTCTTTCTGTTCCGCATATACGCCTGATTGCCACACAACGGCCATTGTTGGTAGAGACCTCGTCATTCTCATTCTCGGATCGATCGGTACGCGTATACGGCCCCATCCCGATCGCCTGCGTCATCCAGTCTCCGCTCCCGCTCCCCGCAGTTCAGCTTTCCTTGCCCCGCCAAGCTGAGGTCGGACACGGACACACGGACAACTGTCAAATCCTCCGCTTGCTGCCGGCTCCCCTCATCCAACTTCACCTTTACCCACCGTGTTCCAGGCTAGGCCAGTCAAGAAAACGGTAGACGGTAGATGCTAGACGGTAGACGGCAGACCACGGACGAACCGGGCCGACGACGTTGAAGGAAAGAAAGAGCAGCAGCCTTACACTGTCGCACAAAACACTGCCGCATAGTAAAAAGTTCGTTGCATGTGCCAGCGTGACAGGGCTGGTTATAGCCTGCAGATCGGCATCCGGGCCCCTCTCTTGAGTCCGATCAAGCTCCATCCATGCCTCCTGCGAAACGGCATGCCCAACATTTGTTACACGGTAGGCGTGTTGAGGTGGTGGTCAGCAGCAAAGGCTGAAATGCCAGAACAGTGTCACTTGAACACAACGCCGACATGGCAAGCATTTGGTCTACCATAAAGGCGGCGGCCCCCTCTCGCACGCGGGCGCCGGAGCAACAGAACCAGCCCCAGTCCCAGCACCAGCCAAGCGAAAGTGAGCCGTCGCCAATACCGCCGGTCCGGGGTGTCGCTAGCAGGGCCTCATCGTTGTCACGATCCAGGGTCCCGGGAACAACGCCGCCGCCGCCGCAACAGTCGGTGCCAAGATCAACCAGCATCTCGGGTGAAATCCGAGGTAAGTCGCCTAGCCCTCCATTTGTGGATATCATCAAAATTACGAGTACCCCCAAAGGAGTAATGCCATATCATCACGTTTCCCCTGACCGTTTCCCCGTTCCGTTCTCCCATCCCACCATTGTCATCGCCCGTTGGTAGTTTGTCCAGTCGCCAATCGCAAGGTCGCAGCTTGCAGCTCGCAGGACTGCTTGTTTTTGTTTGGTTCGAGCAGTCGGCGAGACATGCAAAGGCGAGGCCCTGGCAACTGGCATACGCGGCCGTGACGTTATCCTCCGTTTCTTCATCTGCTCCTCCCTTGCTTTCGGCAGCAGCCATGGCTACAAGCTTAGGAGCTCACGCGATGGCAACAGGCAGCAATAGTAGCAACCAACAGAGCCGTTCCTCTCCGATTCCGTCCCCCAGTGCAGCCAACACCTCGACTACACAGCCCCCAAGTACCAGCAAAAAGACTTCGTCTAGGCTTTCGCGGAGCTACACTTCCATTGGGCTAACCGGCAAGGAGAAAGAAAGGGAAAAGGAAAAGGAAAAGGAAAAAGGCCGGGAACAAGACGTCGATGATGAGAATGCAGACGACACTGGCGACCAAAGCACCGCCGCCGGTAACGGGACAGCTGGGCCGGGCATCACCATCGGAGTGAACCAAAGCGCGCACACACCCTCACCAATACCGAGTCCGGCTCTCGATCCCCTGTCACAGGTGAGTAGTGGTAATGGCCGTGGCGGTGGGGTGGACGCTTCACTGTAGCCTGTCTAACCGTATACGCGTATAGCAAATCTACCTACGACGCAACAGCGAGGTTCCCATATCAGGTCGACGTTCGATGCATATGGCCGAAGGGCTAGCACGATCCAGTTCGGACTTTTTGAGAGCTGTCACACCAGCAGGAGATGTGAGCAAAGACAAGAGGTAGGCCAACAGACTGCCGTGGCGAGGCAATGGGATTGAAGAAAGACACGGCTAACGGAGTGTGTTGAATTTATACAGCAAGAAAGGAGGTTCATTTCTCAGTCGTTTGAGCATGCGCGGTGGCCGCAAGAAGGACACAGCCGACTTTGATTCAGACTCGGAATTTGGTGTCGAGGCCCGGATGGACGGCACCAATGCCCGAGTCTTCAGCCAGACGTTAAGCAACCCAGTCATGGGCGGAGGCTATGTCCCCCATCACAAGGAACCGCCACGATACATTCGAACCAAGGCGACCAACAAAAAAGCAAGAGAGTTCAACCGCATGTTTCTGGCCCAAGAATTGGTCGGCACAAGACCTCCCAAAGATGAAGAGAAGGCCGACGCGAACAAGGCACCTGTTGTGACAGTCAGCGTGGCTGGTGGCGGCGATCGCAAGACAGCGAGGTCAGGCGGAGCAATCTGGGCGACTGAGTTCAGCAGAGACGGGAAGTACCTGGCCACGGGCGGGCGAGACCACATTGTCAGGATATGGGCAGTCTTGACGACATCCGACGAGCGCCGGGCACACGAAGAGGATGAGAACGCCAATGGCGGACCTGGAGAACGGCTTAGTGCGCCGGTATTCAGGGACCGGCCGCTGATGGAGTTTGAGGGACACACCGGGGAGGTCTTGGACCTCAGCTGGAGCAAGAACAACTTTTTGCTGTCGTCCTCGATGGACAAAACTGTCAGGCTATGGCATCTTAGTCGAAGAGAATGCCTCTGCACGTTCAAGCACAAGGACTTTGTCACGCGGTTAGCCTTCCACCCCCGGGATGACCGCTTCTTCCTGGCCGGCTCCCTGGATACCATGCTGCGATTATGGAGCATTCCGGACAAGGCAGTGGCCTTCTCGGCCAACCTTCCCGATCTCATCACTGCGGTTGCATTTTCCCCAGACGGAAAGATAGCGATTGCCGGCCTACTGAATGGCCTCTGCGTCTTTTTCGAGACAGAAGGACTCAAACAACAGACACAAATTCACGTACGCTCATCTCGTGGCAAAAATGCCAAAGGAAGCAAGATTACAGGGATCCAGACCATGCTTGTGCATCCACCAGCCCCGGCCTACCCAACTCATCAACCACCAGGTTCCAGTGCGGCCTCGCATGCTTCCACTGACGTGCCCAGTAACGCCGAGGTGCGAGTGATGGTCACATCCAATGACAGTCGAATCCGAATCTACAGTCTACGGGATCAGACCATGGAGGTTAAGCTCAAAGGGCACGAGAACTCCTGCAGTCAAATCGCAGCCACATTTTCAGACGATGGAAAATATGTGGTCTGCGGAAGCGAGGATCGCAAGGCTTTTGTTTGGAGTGTGACGGGCAAGGGGGTGCCGCTGACCACGGACAAGGACAAATCGCCTTGCGAGTATTTTGAAGCACACGGCGAGACCGTCACGACGGCTCTTTTTGCGCCAACACAAACGAGGATGCTTCTTGGTCAGAGCGGAGATCCGATCTACGATCTATGCAATCCACCACCTGTGGTTTTGCAGAGCCTGGATGAGGTTGCCAGTGCCGCAGCAAGCACCACCGGGTCTCAACTAGCACCTGCGTCAGAACACCTGGTTAAAAGGCCGGAGCCGAGTCCCGCTTATATTGCCAGATCTACCCATTACGATGGTAACATTCTCATCACAACAGGCGATACCGGCATCATTAAGGTCTTTCGCCAAGATTGCGCCTTCGGCAAGCGCAGACACGAGAGCTGGGAGACAGGAAGCACGTTCAGTCGGAAGCTGGCGCCCAGCAACGGATTCATGAGTGGAAACGGGCTAGGTCGCAGTGGCAGCGTGATGACAAGAACCAGCGGTGGCAGCGTCACACGTAGCCGAAGAGGGTCTCTTACCCAGCCATTCTCACCACAGCTTGGCCCAGTTGGCGGCAGCTCCGACCGAATTCTCAGCTGGCGCCAGGGGATCGAAAACGGAGGCGACAAGCGATCCAGCGCTCTATTAAATGGGAGCGCGACGCCAGCAGCTAGCGAAAGATCGATGAGCCCGGCCAAGGTCATCCGGACGCCCCTGAGTTCACAGGTGAACTTGGCAAGCGAGGCCAGAAAACAGCCATATGCGAACTCGACCGTCGCGTCAAGAAACAGGGCTGGCAGCACCCTGACGAGCCCAACGGCCAGTGTGTTTAGTAACGCACCCTCGCGTGTCCCCTCGAGGCTCCTCAGAGAAAGACGCATGTCAAAGGAGCCGGAGGAGGAAACGTCAGTGCCGCCGACTCCGAGCTTTACCTACATGTCAGCAAGTGAGAATGATCCGCCCGATTCTCCTGCAGGAACAGGGGTGGGTTCGGGGGGAGGCAGCACCACATCGTCATTTTGGAATCTGAACCGATGGCGAGGGATCACGGCCTTCAAAGTCAACGCTTCGTCGCCCAACCAAAGCGGTAGCGGTGTGGAGGGACACAAACGCAGCGACAGTCGCAGTTCTATAGTGAAGCGGGTCCAAGGGGACGCCGGTCCTGGCGATGAGAAGGAACAAGGCAGCCCAGAACAGCGCGTAGGAACATCAAGGCGACAGAGCACAGGCACGGGGCTGTTACCAGCTGCTCATGTGGTGAGAAACAGCACTGATGGGAATGGAAAGGACAAGAAGCATCAGCGCATGTCTCTCCCAGCTGGAGCAGTCTTGAGCCAGGCCGACAGCGAGGCTGACGTCCGGTCCATCCCAGCGAATGGAGGGATGGTAGCGCCCGTCAACCCTCTGCAAGTGCGTCGAGATGGCTCTCCATACCGGCACCTCTGGAGTCGCGGAAGCTCGTCCCATGGTAGCGGAGGGAGACCTGGCTCAGATTTGGGCAGTTAGAGATGTCTAGGGGATTGTAACTATACTACTACATAAGAGCGAGCGTTTTGTTAGCATGGCGTTGGATAGGTTGTGACGCAATTGGATGAAAGGGGGTTCCGGGACAAAATCGGAGCATCAATGCCGTGTTGCATTGGGTTCCCTGAGAATATACCATGAACCAAAAGTGAAGCAATACTCCGTCATTCATGCTTGCTGAAAAGAGGATATCCAGAAGTGCGCCACACAAGCCAGAGACAAGCTGGCCCACGGCCAACCCAGCGGCCAACCGTTTGTATCTCCAACGACATACCACCACTTGCTTGGTGGTGGCTGCTGTATCTCTCTTCCCTGGTCTCTGTGCCAAAGCCTCATTCGACCATGTCTGACCCATATCATATCGTACCAAATTCTGCACTCCTTTTTCAACCCCTTTTAAGCAGTGGCGGCAGCCTCCTCCTCCTTCTCCTCCTCCTTGGGAGCCTCCTCAGCCGAACCCTCGGCACCCTTCTTGGCCAGCCCGCCCAGCTCGTTGGCCAACAGGGTCAGGTTCCTGGGGTCGGCGCCGCGGATCTGGACGACGCGGTCGGCGCTCTCGCCCTCGCCGAGCTTGACGCCGCCGCCGAGCTTGCGGCCCTGGACGTCGATGCCCTTGCCCACCTGGCCGTCGACGACGAAGACGAAGGAGGGCATGGCGGTGATGCCGTACTCCTTTGCGATGTCGGCCGAGGCGTCAACGTCGATTTTGGCGAAGGCGAGCTGGCCTGGGACGGAGTGAGACTTGGAGAGCTTGGCGAAGAGGGGGGCTATGGCTTTGCAGGGTCCGCACCTGGGGGGGCGAGATAGTTAGTAAACGGCCGGGGGAGGGGGGGGGGGGAATATTGTAGTTGGTAGAAAGTAAGTAGAGGGGGGACAACATACCACTCGGCCCAGAAGTCGAGGATGACGTATTTGGTGGAGGTGATGAGCTGGTTGAGCTCGTCCAGGGTGGAGATTTTGATTGGCTCGGCCATTGTAGCGGTTTGTAGCGGGAGGAACTAAAAATGTCGTTGGTATAGGTGTGAGATATGAAAATTCACGATTTCAGGGGTCGTAGAAATGGATATTTCATGATGCGCAAAGGGTTCACTGAAAGGGATTAATAATGGGGGTGCGGGGTTTATGGCAGAGCTGCAGGACAGGGAGCGGGATTGCAATGGCGGGGTCTTTTCCACGCGTGCTGGGGAGCGCGATGCGGGGCAGTTTGGATCAATCGAGTCTGTACCATGTCTTGGCTCCATGTCCCACGGTTCACGGGCTCAACTCAGATGCCAACTCACCTCTGCAATTCATTTGTCACAGCTTGGGGGTCCTGCAAGCCGCCATGACAGCTGCTCGAAAACGGAAGGTGCCACTGTCGCTGATCTGCCGAACCCAGCCTCTCGCTTCTCACTCTGCGATTCACCATTGCGGAGATTCCATTTAAGCTTAAATCGCCAGACCTTGCGGTGTCTCATCAGTCAAGTTCACTAAAGAAGCCATCTTGTAAACAGACAACATGGCCAACCTTGCCTCTGCAGAGATTAAAGCCCGCCTGGAGCGCTCATACGACGCGATAGCAACCACCTACAGCACCTGGGCCGTTAACCATCCATGTTCGCTGAGGTTCTCCTATCTAGATCGCCTCCTCAGTCTCTTGCAGACCGAAAACCCAACAGATGACTCAGAAGCACCAACCAAGTCGGCGCTGGAGCTGGGCTGCGGCAACGGGTACCCCATCCTCCAACGCCTCTTTTCCGCCGGTTTGTTCTCTTGCATTGTGGCAAACGACCTCTCCTCTGTACAGCTCAACTCGGCCAAGTCGGCACTAGAAGCGAAACATGACAATGTCCAGGCAGACTGGAGACAAGGGGATATGACATGTCTGTCGTTTAACCCCTGCTCCTTCGACATCATCATTGGCCTCTACACGCTTATACATCTGCCACGCTCCGAACAGCTGCTCATGCTGGAGAAGATCAGTCTCTGGTTGAAGCCGGGCGGGCTTGCCCTTGTCAACTTCAGCAAAGAGGACACGGAGGCCGAGGTCATTGAGGAGTGGCTGGGTCGCGAAGAGGGCTGGATGTTCTGGTCCGGGTACGGAGCCGATAACATGCCGCGTCTGATCCAACAGGTGGACGGTTTGGAGATGGTGGTGGGTGAGCTCAGACCGGAGGACGAAGGCTCAGCTAATGTTGAGTTTTATTGGGTTATCCTTCGCAAAATCCCGACACATTAAAACCGAGCACGACATTCTCATAAAACGACCATTAAATTCTACACACCATGATTGAACTTCGTGCGGACCATCTCATCCGCTGGGCGCCAAGGGAAAGTTCCTTGCGTACGCTATTGGATGACAGAAAGCCTCACTGATTGCCTTGCAATGCACCGTCGTCATGCGCCCAAGTAATCGAAACCGATTACGAGGAGGGGAGGCTGCAAGCGCGCGGCGAGCTCTTCAACACTTAGAGTCAGAGGCCTCTGGGGCTGAGCTGAGCTGAATTCGGAATGAAACAACACCGAATTTCCAGTTCAGAGCCTTATCAGCTGCTACATAGCTCCAAGCCGTGTGACCTCGATGCAGGGGAAATATCGAAAGAAAGATAAGAATTTAACACAGCCCTACCCCTTCCCCCTTTTCCCCCCCCACCCCCAAGAAAAGGGAAGCCCTGCCTAGACGAAAGAAACGTCCGCCCACGACGCCACTAATCTGTCTGGTCGATTCATCTAAGTGTGTCATGTGGCCAACAAAGGTCATAACTGGACTGTGGCTTGATGCGTATAGCTTTCGGGATGCCGCACATCCTGGTCTAGAAATTATAATATATCTTGCATGGGACGCAGACAGACAACCGACTGTCATGATCATCACCACCCTTCCACTACTACGCTGGCATAGCACTCATATAGCTGGTTATATTATGGATGGAAACATCACTCTACGTTATGTCGGCGGGTTCGGTTTTGAAGGGCCTTATACATTTCTCCAAGAGGCGCTTGCAAACACAACTGACCCCCTGGCAAGCCCGTACCTCCAACTGGCCCACGATGGAAGCTACATCTCCATTACCCGTGATGCCTGCCTGGCCATCACAAACATGACAGCCGATATCTACACGGCGTACGATAACCAGGGGATATGGAATAGACTTGTGAGTTTTTCTCATCATGTACTGTGGAAAAGATGATAAACTGACGACAACAGGTCACCTGGAAATTCCCCCTTGTCTCCCTCCTCTTTCACTTCTCCCGTCCTCCCTTCCCCCTCCGAGTATGGACGAACACCAGTCTTTTCATGCTGATCCACCTCCTGGGCAGCCCTGTAACAAATATCGCGTCCCTCTTGCACACGCTCTCTTCCTGCCGGCACAGCGCAAAGAAGATGCAAAAGAAGCTACGAGATATCCAAAGAGACATCAAGGACGAGTTGGCGTCCTGGAGGCTGGAAAGCCCCCTGGCGAGGGAGTTGGTACACAGCCACTCGGGAAAATCCACCAGCGAGCGAAAATTCACCAGCCTGTGGAAGCAGCTGTCTCTGATCAAAGTCTCGTACGATGAATGGGGCGTCGAATCCTCCGAGTTCCTCATGCGTACGCTTGACAGCCTCTTCCTCGACCCTCTGCCCCTTCGTTACGGGTCAAGATCACTCGTTCAAAGAAGGGAAGTACTCGCCCAGATTAAAAAGGCGGCTGACATGCTCGCTGCTGATCGGGCGACGTATGTGCTTCCTATTTTCATCGCGCAGTTTGTGTTTATCGCCTCCATCAGCGCGGCGTTTTGGAGGGTGATTGGGGTTTTCCCTGAGGATGGGGAGTGGACGAATGTGGAGGCTTATTCGATCGCCATGTCGGCGCCGTTTTTGTACATGGTGCCGGCTGTGTTTTTGAGCGCGATTATCGGGGTAAGTCAGACGGAGAGGAGTGTGGTGAGGGTGTTGAATGATTTGGGGGAGAAGCTGATGAAGGAGGAGTGGGTGGTTGAGAGGGGGGTTTCTTTGGGGACCGAGGGTGAGAAGGAGAGGGCGGTGGTGGTTTCGGTTGGTGTTGCGGCTGGACGTGGGGCGTCTCCAGTAACGAGTGATACTGAGAGGGATGAGAGTCCTGGGAGTGAACAGTTGCTGCTGTTGACGCCTCGGGGCCAAGCGACAACTGCTGAACCGACAACAAATGTCAGCGCAGAGGCTGTAAAGAGGGAATCGGTCAGGATACCGGTCGTGGTGGAGAAACAGCCCATCTTTCAGAGGGTGTGTCACGGGGGAATCTATGGCTGGAGGCCCGAGATCCTCACAGCACGACAGATACGACAGACATGGCGCCACGTTGTTTTGGCCTTGAATCTCGTCATCATGTCTGTGGTTGTGGCATCATGGATATCTTACCGGGTGCCTCCGGAAGGATTCGACTGTCGTAACGCAGGGCAGGCGGCGCTGTTGATAATGTGGTTGCTCAGCTTTGTGCTGGACTGTGTCTTTGCATACTACATGGACCGCTGGGGCCATCTCGAGAGTGGGAAGGGCTACTGGTATGAGGCTGTGTTTATCAAGGACTTCATCGTGGGATGGGCGGCCGTTGTCATGATTTTGGTTGTCCAAGTAGGCATCTTCAACCGGTGCGACTGCTTCTCACTTTGGGGAAAGGTCCCGGTTGCTCTGCCGCAGATTCCAGAGGTTGCTGCTGTGTTGATGCATCGTATTTCATTTGAGTGGCCTGCGGTGACATTTGGATGGATTGCTATAGAGCTCGGCATTTGCGCTGTGATTTGGTGGACGTATAGAGATGCCTTTAGCGTGTATAACCAAGAGGACGGGGGTGAGGAGAAATGAAGCCCGCCACCTGTCGGTCATTTCGTGGACGATGTAGCTATGCGTACAATGCAGGAGATCAATACGCAACTATTTTGCTGTCATTATGGCCGTGCCAGGTGTGTTAACTGTCATTGAAGCCCTGTTGGCTCTAACTTTGAAGGCCATAAGATAATACAAAGGTGCCCCATTATCTTAAAAGGTCTTAAAGATACCTAATCGCCAAGTGTTGGCGGTCAGTTTTGTCAAATCGTATATGGGGGCCAAAAAAGGTGTCAATTCTGTTGTTGTACGAGGGTGAGTTGCCCGGGTGGCTGGAAAAAAGCCGAACCCAGTGGCCCAGGTCCCACTGCCAAGATATTAATTCCTTAATAGTGGGCCCGGTTGACTATTCTGACAAGTTCAAAGCTGCCACAGAATAGCGCCCCCTGAGAATGCCGCCGGCATTTTGCCCCTGTCGCGGTCCATCGCCAAGTCAGGCAACCAGCGGTGGTTTCCACAACGCTAACATTTTGATCATAACCTGGCATTCGGGTATAAATAACGACATGCACCTTACCTACCTAACTACCTACCTACCTACTCTTGAACCCAGCTCAGTTCTACCATCATGGCCCGTACAACTCAGATACATAGAGCCCGACGTGATGCTGCCAAGATCGCCCCTCGAACTTGTGTCGTTCAGCCAACCACACCCAATCCGGAAAGGCAACAGCCGTACCAGTATCCCGGCATTAATGTCGACCTCCGCCACCTCTTGCGGCACTGGACTCTCGAACCGGGCGTCGACTATTACCGTGTGGGGTGTTTCGAGGTATCTGGTACCCACAGCGAGACACAGCCCATCATGGTTCGGGAGGTGGCCATGACGCTTCTCATGGACCGCTTGACCGACAAACCTGGCTGGCATGAAAAGGTCTTTGACGAGGAAATCGTTGCCAAATGGAAACAGGAAGCTCTGAGAGCACCCGAGGATGACATTTGGAACTCCATCATCACCGATCAAATCTTGCAAAACCTCGAGGAGATTCGGCAAGTACTGGCCAGTGGTGATCCTGACGAAATCGAAGGTTATCTCTGGCACTATGCTTACTATCCTCAAAAACCAGCGCGCCAGAGGATCATATCAGAGCAGGCGTTTGATTACGTATGTATTCTTTTCCTCATCAGAGTTGCGGCTTGGTACTCATACGACTCCAGTGTATTGCTGAGCTTCGCTGCAAAGCTGTCGAGTTCAACAAAAGTGGCCTGATCTTTACGCTCAACACAAACGAGAACATGGCCATTAAGTCGGACTCTGTTGTCACCGACGAGCTTCGTGAAGACCTCAGAGCCGCCTTCAACAAACTCGTGGCTGAGCAAGGCTCTAACCCTGACTGGCACCCACGGGCTCAAGAGATGGTCCAGGACCTTGTTCACCCGTCCATGCACCCCTTTGTCTACGGGAAATCCCCATTTTTCCAAGACGAGGTTGTGGGAGTCGAGGATGCCGTTGAGAAGTGGGCTGGCAAGGGCCAGGTCATTGAGAAGCCGCTCACCAAACCCCGCGAAGAAATGAGCGACTTTCATGACTACAACGGCCAAGAGTATGCGTTCTGGTCTGAGAAATACCAATGGCTTCCTGCCAACCTAGCCTTTCAGGACGATGGTACAGTCAGGTTCACCAGTTACATCAACAACCTGCACCCAAAGAGACACCCCGAGATCTATCGTACCATCGAGCGGCTCATTGACACGGCTATTCCGGCATGGGAACGGGTCTTGAGCGGAAAGGCCACCATCGGTGAACCCTACATCGAAAGGAGGTCCTCCAGCTATCGGAAATGCGGAAAGAAAGTCGTCCCAGTGCAACAGCGGTTTGGGCCCGCTCCAGTATTCTGCAGCGAATATGACAACGACGCTTATGAGGCTCAGCCGGACGATTTGCGGCCCGGACTTATCAGGGAGTGGGAAGAAAAGAATGGCAGGCCTGTTCCATTGGATGATCACGAGCTATACGAGGTGGAGAGCTGGACAGGGCCAGATGAATGTACCTCCAACCCAGAGCAGTACGAGGGTCTTACTCTGGAAGAGCAGAAAGAGAGACTTTTGCTCAATTACAAGTGGAAAGAAATTCGGGATGTTATCCTTCCAGAACCCCTGGGCTTTCAGCCAGTCACATACACCACCGAGCACAAACTCAGTGAGAAGTTTAAGGAAACCGGTCTTCAGGTCATTGTGAAGATGGCTACGATTGAGCTTACCCCGGAAAAGCCCGACTTCCCGGTTGGAGGTTGGCACGTAAGTGAACCCCTATCTTTACTCCCTTCTGGATAGGTACTGACACCAAGCCTGGGGCTAGATTGAGGGCATGATGAGCGAGCACATTGTTGCCACAGCTCTGTACTACCTTGATTCAGAGAACATCACCACGAGCTCCCTTGAGTTTCGCATGAAAGCAGATGAGCACCCGGATTTGGAGGATACTATCGGGCAGGATAACTATCGGCCCAATCAGGTCATGTTTGGTTGTCTGTTTAAGGACGGAGAAGCTCTGCAGAAGCTCGGCAACGTTGAAACGCGCCAGGGACGCCTTCTTGCCTTCCCAAATGTTTTGTGAGTGGATTCAATCCGAGGTAATAACCTGTTTTGACACATTCGTCTAACCTACCATCTACAAAACAGCCAGCATCGCGTCTCTCCCTTCAGTCTCCAGGACCGGACCAAGCCGGGACATCGACGCTTCATTGCTCTTTGGCTCGTTGATCCACACCAACGAATCATCTCCACTGCCAACGTACCACCGCAACAGCTGGACTGGTGGGCAGAAGCCGTCTTTGGGGGCAAGGACCAGGTGGCAAAGGGTGAGCTCCCTTCCGAGGTGTTTCAACTCTTGCTCGAGCAGGGGCTCGCCGACACAATCTCCCCGCCAAAGGAGGTGCTTGACAAATTGAACAATCGGTTGCCGCCTGAACTTATGAACATGGTGCGCAAGCAGCGAGTTATGCCACAAGCTCTGATGACGAGAGAGGAGGCAAAGGAGCACAGGTTGAAGTTGATGGAAGAGCGGAGCACGTTTCACGAAGAGGCAGAGTCATCCTGGACGGGGGTGAAGTTCAACTTTTGCGAACACTAGTCATATCCCCGTTATCTTAGGTAGTTATGGAAGTCATGCAGGTGCTTGTAGGTGTTGTCCAATGGTGGTGGTTATTCCCTGGAACGATACGACGCTGACCAAGCTATTTTCACCAAAGGAGATAGTTTGTGATCATGAGCACAACAACGAGCAAGGGGCTGCCCCTCACCGGCGGTTCATTTATATCCGTTGCAACTCTTATATCTTAACTGCCTGCATCGCACATTGCGGCCGCGTTGACTATGACACCCAGGTAGCAGGTCTCCCGCGTCGCTACCAGACAGTAATAAATGAATCCCGGGTGCTTCCCGCACTTACGCAACTAATAAGAGTCTCTTCATAGCCTCCACCATGGCAGCAGAGGTAGACTCGGCTCTGCCCGCAGAAGACGCAATCCATACCGAGAAGGCCCTTGGTACACTTCCTCATGAGGAGAACCCCCGGTTAGACAAGATCCTTAACCGGAAGTTTGACCTTCACATTCTCCCTTGGTTATTTGGTATCTGGTCAGTGGAATCATATTCACATTCTCACATTCTCACATTCTCACATTCTCACAACCCCAGGCTCTTCTCCTTCATCGACCGCTCCAACATAGGCAACGCCCGCCTCGCCGGCCTCCCCGAGGACCTCGGCATCGCCGGCGTCGGCACCCAGTTCAACCTCGCCCTCCTGGTCTTTTACATCCCCTACATTCTCGTCGACGTCCCCTCCAACCTCCTCCTCAAAAAGTTCCGCGCGGGCGTCTACCTCCCTTCCCTCATCACAGCCTGGGGCGTGGTGTGCTTATCCATAGGGTTTGTCAAGTCCTATGCCGGGCTGATCGTCTGCCGGCTGTTGCTGGGGTTGTTTGAGGGTGGGATTTTGGGAGGGGTGATCATTTACCTGGCCATGTTTTACAAGAGGCATGAGATGCTGTATCGGAGTGGGCTGTTTTACTGTGCGGCGCCGTTGAGTGGTGCTTTTGGGGGGTTGCTGGCGGGGGCATTGGGGAATATTGAGGTGGGGGGGTATAAGAGGTGGCCGTGGATCTTCTTTGGTGGGTTGAAAATGTCTGATGATTTTGTGTACCTAGGTGGGAATGATACTGACGATGTGAACAGTCGAGGGGGCGGCGACGGTGGTGTTTGGGATCGTTTGCCTCTTCTTCATGCCTGATACGCCGGCCGCGTCACGGTTTTTGACAGAAGAAGAACGGGACTGGGCACTGAAGAGGATGAAGATCGATGCGAGCGGCTCTACGGCCCTGGAGACAGTCGATGAGGAGAAGTTTGACTGGTTTTGGGTGTGGATGGCCATCAAGTCACCGCAGATGTGGTTCTGTGCTGGTGTTTGGTTCTTTTTGCTGGTGCCTCTCTACGTATGTCATCAAGTGACAGGTTGCCTAAACGTTTACTGACAAGAACAGAGTTTCTCGTTGTTCTTGCCGTCAATCGTCGCCGGCATGGGCTACACGTCAACCACAGCGCAGCTCTTTACCGTGCCACCCAACATGGCCGGCTTCGTCGTGGTCATTCTCACTGCTCACTTCTCTGACAAGGTCAAAAATCGAGGCGGCTTCATTGCTGCCGGCACTGTGGTTGGGATAGCGGGTTATGTGATGCTCCTTGTATCTGAGCAGAATGCAGTCAAGTATGCCGGCACATTTCTGATTGCTATGGGGGTGTTTCAAGCTTCACCTATGCTGATGGTAGGTGTTGGCATTTGGCCAGATCTTCGGATGATGCTAACTTGGTTTCCAGGGGTGGGTTGCCAACAACCTGGCTCCTCACTACGTCAGGGCAGTGGGAGTGGGCATTGTGATATCCATCGCCAATTGCTCGGCATTCATTGGAACGTTTATCTACTTGCAACGAGATGCGTATGTCACCCGCGGTAGCACTTTCTACTGCAATGGTCCAAAAGCTGACATTTTACCTCTCTGAACAGGCCAAAATACGCCCTGGGCCATTCCATCAGTCTTGGTGCCTTGGTCATCACACTCTTCCTGACGGGCCTTCAGGTGGCATATCTCAGTTGGGAGAACAGAAAGCGTGATAGCGGAGAAAGAGACGTTCGATTGGTGGAAGGCAGTGTGCATCGGCTCGGGCATCGTCATCCTGCTTTTCGCTACACACTGTAAAAAGGAATCGACTGTAGAGAGCTCCAGGCACTATACTTACCTAAACAGCACCAAGTGTTGACTATGCATGAAGGTGTGTTAACCAAAGGCACTTGCTCCCTGTGCATCATCAACTTTGTGACCGCTGCACTTGATCCCCAGATCCCCACAGGTTGGCGCCAGTAGGTCTCGAACCTACTCTGGGTTCAAATACGGCCTCACTAATTCTATTGCGCACCCCCCCTTTACTCCCTGTGCATCCCATCATCGGGGCTAGGGCTATAGATGTGAATTTCAGTCAACGGCAACATGGGAAAGGCTGCTCCTGGAACAACCTGGAGCAACCAAAGGCCACCAAAACTGCGTTCAGCCATGCCTTCAACGAACTGAAGTTCTCGAACACCCTGTTGTTCACCAAACTGAGCACTCAGTTGGCCAACCCCCAGTTGAGCACCCAGTTGAGTGCCTAGGTACCTAGGCAGCACAATGGCCTACACTTGTTCACAAGATCAAGGTAGCCTTTTATATTGGGCTCTGGGGCAAATAAAGCGCAGATATTTCTTCAAATTCACTCTCTCGTATGCCGATCCCAGATGTCACCATCCGCGCCCAAGAGGATAGTGCCGCCGCACTCGGCAGCTTCCCCAATGCGGAAGCTCGCTCTCATTCAGGCGGCCAGTTCCGAAATCCGGGGTGCATAATCCACTGCCGCCGATGAATACTACCGTTACCCAGTTTTTATTTCGTCACAATGCCCACGTCGTTTCATTCTTATTGCAACTGTCCACTGGTCTTTCGGCGCGGATGAGCACCGAAAGCAACAGCAAGCGGCATAGGAACGTTCGGGGGCGAGAGCTCCGAAAGTCAGTGGGCATTGACATAAATCCCACGAATGATCAGGTCGTGTTTACAAGAGGCTTGTTTAATATCGCCGGTAATTATACCCGTAGAGCAACCATCCCGGCTCGGCAGTCCGCCGGGTGATTTCTGGTGAACAGTATAAATCTCTCCGTTCACCTCTCCGTCAGGTCCATATACCTCTTTTCTCGGTATCAACATCCAACTCCCAATCCCTGTGCTGACCGTCATCGTCTCTGGGATCACGCTGCCCAACATGCGTGTCCTTCTCCAGCTCTTTACCCTCCTCTGGGTCTACACATCCTTCGCCACCGCAGCCATCAGCTGGAGCCTCCAGAAGGCGAGCAACCCGACCTCTGACCAGAACGACGCCTACGCCCGTATCGAGAATGCCATGCGTCTCGCCGTTGCCAGGTACAACAGGCTCGCTCCACGGGCAAACAAAGTCGTGACAGTCCAATACGTCCCCTCTGTCCAAACCGCTGACGGCAACTTCAACGGCAACATCCGCTTCGGCTCAAACAGGTCCTATATGAATGAACGAGTTGCGCTACACGAGATCTCTCACACGCTAGGTGTGGGTACCACCAACGGGTTCAACCAGCGCTGCTCTCAAAACAACTGGCCGACAGCCACCCCCCTTCTGAAGAGCTGGGATGGGCAAGACGCAAAGATTAACTGCGGAGGCTCACACGTGTGGCCTTATGGTCTTAACCAGAATTCAGAAATGAGTGAAACGAACGCGAACAGACATTGTCAGCTCGTGAACGCGATGATCATTGATGGCATGTTTTGATGGGTTAGGGTTGTGAATTGGGTTAGGGTTAAGGTTACTTGGAGTTTTGCACACAGCATCCTCACAGGGGCTTTCCCCTGTCACCGGCTCAGAGAAAGAAAGAAGAGCAATTACTCATCCCATCTGCTCTCCAGTCCATTGACCCCCCTCGGCCTTTCTGCCAGCGTCGTGATCCTGAACCCATGCCTCAACCCTTCCTGGGGCACGTGAACATTGTAATCGCTGATAGCAGTGTGACTTGTCACCCTATTATCCCAGAGTGCGACTGTCCCCTCCTCCCACTTGACCCTCACTTGAAAGTCCTGGCCAAACGTGATGTGGTGGAAAAGAAGCTTCAACAGCGCCTCGCTCTCCTCATCCTTCAGCCCCACAATCCTCTTGGTAAAACCCGGGTTGACAAAAAGTGCCTTTTGGCCTGTGGCAGGGTGAACCCGAACGATCGGGTGCTCGGTTTTCACTGGTTCGCGGCGCACAAACAGGCCGTCACGGCGGGCGCCTTCTGCTTGGGGAAAGCCGGAGTGCTCAGCGCGGAGGTTTTCAAGAAGCGCCTGGATGGGAGGGGAAAGACGGGCATAGGCGGCAGTTTGGGACTCCCATGCGGTGTCGCCTCCTGTAGGGGGCACCGAGAGCAAAGTCAGGATGGTGATCCCGGGGGGTTGGCGCTCGTAGGAAACGTCCGAGTGATAGCCGGTCGTGGTGAGACGGTTGCCTCGGCGGCGGTTCCTGTATTCGTTGTCGCTACCCAAATATATGTTATGCAATTCTTGCGATTCTTTGACGTGGGCACCGACGGGCTGAGAGGGAAGGGGTTAGAATCATCTAGACAGGGCAGGGAAGGGTAAAGGGGGGTGAGGGGGGGAGGCGCACATGAATGTGAAGAGGCCCAAAGTACCGGCCAAACTCTTTTTGCTTCTCGATGCCAATGTCTTTGAAGTCCTGATCGCGGAAAACGACGACGCCTCTCTCGGCGATGAGGAGAGCCAACTCGTCCTTTTGGATGTCGTTGAGCTGACTCAGCTGAAGACCCCGGATTTCGGTTCCAATACCAGGCGTCAAATTGATCACTTTGAGAGCGGGGACATTCTCTTTGGACAAGAGATTGGGCTTTTCCTTGTTGGCGACGAGACCTCTGTCGTTGAACTCGAAGGGTTTGAGAGGGGGAAAAGTGGTCTCGGTGTCATAGACAGGGAGGTATGCCGAGTATTTGTACTAGGGAAGGCTGTTAGTTTCATGGACGCCATGGAGGTAGGGCATGACAGCAAGTACCTCCTCATGAATCTCCTCCTGGTAGGCCAGGGTCAACTTGAGAGGGGCACTCTCGGTGGCGGCGGTGGTTTGAGTCTGCGTGATGGTCGCCATGTTGTGAATGTTGAGTTGGCTGAATCTGAATGTCTTCGTTCGTGGTTTATCAACACCCTTTTTATATCTCCTCGATTGCTTCTGGCCTGATCCTATTTGCACACCTACGCGGCAATCGTGTATGCTGGCAAGTGTCAGCACGTCAACGACACGCATATGACGAACCAACCTCTCGATCTTGACGGTACGTCGTGGACAAAATATCTTTCACTGCACAAAAAACTAAATGACGCGTCGAAAGATAGTCAATACGCCTTAAAAGACAGTGAATAGGCCTAAGAGGGTAGTCAATAGGCATTAAAAGATAGTTTGATATGCATTGAAAGATAGTTCATAGGCCTACGAAATGGTTATGAGGCCTATCGACTTTCTTGAACGCATAGTTCAGAATATAATGTGCGTTGACTTACCTTTGCATGGCCAATTATTTTGTCCACAACGCGTGGCTGTCTGCTGTGTATCATGGGTGCGGGGTGTTTGGAGTCGTGATTTGCACAGAAATGGCGATGGCTACGCCATCAGGCATTGACCACTGAAACGACATCAACAGAAGCAGTGGCCTTATTTCCGGGACAGTGAAGTCGAAGCTCTGCCGGGATCGGGACCGAGCCGGCTCCGTGCGCCGCAGCTCGGCGTGGCTGTGCGTTGATGCCATTCAAGAAACGGCGATGCAATGTCATGGGAAACTGTGAAGCCTCTGGAGATAGGTACCCGACGTTACTTTATAACTCAGCTAGCTGGCCAAACCCACTAAAACACACCGCTGACATAGTCGAGCACGGTAATCTTCTCGACCAGAGGTTCAATCTCCTTCTTGAAAGCCAGATGGGCGGGGTCCTGTTCCACGTAGTAATTTCTATCATCCGTGTTTTCGAATTGCACAACGAAAGCATGTGTCATGCCATTCTTGTCCGAGAGGTCAGCCCATGAGACATGGCGAGGAGGCAAGAGTGGGACGTACCTGGAGGTTTTCTGGGGAGTTATCTCGACCTCCTGTAATACTCTTGATATACGCGTGTTGCGAATTGGGCCGAAGGCAGTTTTCCTTGAGAGACAAGATCTTGGCACAGGCCTGATATCATGTGAGAAGGGTGTTAATTGGCCGGTAAACGACGGGACTCACCACATCTACAGCTCCATCATCAAGATCGGGCTTAAACTTGAACAGGACAATGTGTGTCACCATTGTGGTCGAGCCTGGGGGTGCGAGGTTGTAGTTCATGGTGGATGCGAAGCCGATGGGGTCGAAGAACAGAAACACGGAGAGAATGCAGAAGAGGGCGATGGTGATCCTCAACGCGTGAGGCCTGGCCCCGGAGATATTGACCATGTTGAACGGGTACAGAGTGGTTTGCGCAACGCTGCGGGCTTCCGGTGTGTCCTTCCCCAGAAGGTCATCGCGATTGAATCAGCATGTCTCAGTGGCCTGGCTGGGCTGAGCTGAGAAAGCAGCACGTGACACAAGAGCCCCGATAATACCCCTGAGCAGCGCCGCAGCCCAGACTGCTTCTGTGTTAGCCCGTCCAATAATCCATTGAAAGTGTGTTGATTCTCGTGTTGTCCGACTCATGAACCAACAGTCGTAATATCGTGAGATGGAGACGCGAAGGCACGTGAGGTTCTTGTGTCGGAGACTACGGTGACGTTCATTTTGCCTTGCAGCGACTGAGAGCCCCGCAATTTGCTTGGACGGCGTGGAGGGGCAGGGAGACACCAGCAAGAGCACTCGGCGCTGGCTTGGCACAGTCCAGACCAGTGACCTGGATGAAGTCGATGGTTGTCATTATTTTCTATCGACATTCTCATCCAAATCTCACCCTGTTTAGGTAGCTATGCACTAAACCACGGCGACGCATCCTCGGGACTCAAAAAGTAACGCCAAGCCCCGAAAACGTCACCACGGCTGGCGGCTTCGATGGTGCGTGCACAAATGACCCGCAACATGCTCTGCAAGGTGGGGTGGCCCTTCGCCGATGCCTTCGCCGATGCCTTCGCCGATGCCCACCCCGATTGATTGCTTGTTATCAGATCATCTGATTAAAAATCGCTCACGTTTCATGTCAAAACCAGAGACTGCTCGATTCACAACACCATCCGACTACTCTCATAATGACGCTCATCATCGACACCAAGCTCAAGCTCAACAGTGGCTACGAGATCCCTCAACTGGGCTTCGGTGTCTACCAGACGTACGCTTCAAAACATGCTATTCTATCAATGTTGAGTGTGACATGCTGACGCTCACTATAGCCCCCCTTCAGATACAGCAAGATGCGTGTCCGAAGCTGTAAAGGCCGGCTACGCCCATGTGCGAGTCCCCCCTGTAGCATATGCGCAGTTACTGACCACCCCCAGATCGACTCTGCGGCATTGTACCGCAATGAAGGAGCTTGCGGCCAGGCCATTCGTTCCTTTTCCCGCGAGAAGATCTTCTTCACCACCAAGATCATGCCTTACACACTGGGCTATGAGAGTGTTCAGTCCCAGATTGACCGCATGCTCAACGAGACGGGGCTCGGGTATCTCGATCTCGTGCTCATCCACGCCCCCTACGGCGGCTCGGCCAAACGCAAAGAATCGTGGAAGGCCCTGGTGGAGGCTGTTGAGGCCGGCAAGGTCAGAAGCATCGGTGTAAGCAACTATGGCGTTGCCCATCTCCACGAGCTGGAAAGGCACATTGCCGAGTTGGAGGAGGAGCGCGGCGGCAAGGGCAAGGGCGGCGTCATCAGCGTCGGCCAGTGGGAGATTCACCCCTGGTGCCCCAGAGACGACATTGTCGAGTGGTGCAAGAAAAGAAACATTGCTGTCGAGGCCTACTGCCCGTTAGTCCAGGGCAACCGATGGGGTGAGCCCATTGTCAAGAAGCTTGCCGAGAAGCATGGAAAGAGCGAAGCTCAGATCCTGATTCGTTGGAGCTTGCAGAAAGGCCTGGTCCCACTGCCCAAGAGCGTGAAGTCTGAAAGAATCGTCGCCAACGCTCAGGTCTACGACTTCGAGCTTACTGAGGAGGATATGAAGTCGTTAGACACTGGTGTGTACGAGCATGTGTCTTGGGATCCTACCACCGCTCCACTCAAGGATTAATTTCATCACGAGCGATAGTACCATCTTACCACGTCCGTTGTGGACCAAATGATAGAGACTGTCGCTAGCAGTAGGGCCTTGAAGATAGCTAGCATACCTCCAGAGGTAGTGAGTAGGGCTTGACTACCTACCTTGTATCTTAATAGGCCTTTAAAGATAGTCCATATGTTTTCGGAGATGGTGGAAAAGCCTTGAAATGATTATATGAGGTGTTTTTCTTATGCTTTACGCACTTTCTTCTACGTTGTGATCTCTATCATTCTATTTACTACGTCTTATCTCACTACATCATGCCTTCTCCGTCCCTCCCCCCTCTCCCTTGCACCCTCACCTTTCCCTTCCACTCTTTCCCGTCTCCTCCACCCTCTCCTCACCCCCACGCCCAGTTCAACGCCCAGTTCAACGCCCTGCTCAACGCCCTGCTCAACGCCTTGCTCAACGTCTAGTTGAAAATTGTATCATTTTAAAAGGCCTACAACTTAAACTCAACACTTTTTTCATTATCTTTTAAGGCCTATCAAGTATCCTTTAAGGCCTTTTAATTATTTTCAAGGCCTATTTACTATCTTTTTAGGCCTATTGAATTTCTTTTAAAGCGTATCAACTATCTTTGAAGGCCTATTAACTATCTTTGGAGGCCTATTAACGATCTTTTAAGGCCTATTACTTATTTTTAAGGCCTATTAACTATATTTTAAGCTAAATGAACTATCTTTCGAGGCCTGCTGACTATCCTTCAAGACCTGTTGACTATTTTTAAAGCCTATTATCTAGGTAGGTACCAAGCATCACTGACGATGTAGCGCGGTCTAGAATTTCAGGAACTTTGAACCGGGACAAAAACCACCAGTACGGCGAGGAATCTGTTGATGTCGTGTCAGCCTCTTCTTCTGTGGCTCCTACGAGGGGATTCGTGGCCATGCATGATTCTGGTGCACTACCTGTTTGGTTCAGGGAGTCAGGGGCTAAGGGTTCAGGGTTTAAATAGGGGTCATCACTGGAGTGCAAAGAAGAGTGTTAAGAGAGACAGAGAAGCTTACGCGGAGGTGGCCGTAAACACTTGAACTCTTGTCCCTTCGGTCATGCACATGACTGCTATGGCGAAGAGGACTGTGAAGCATGTGATCATGGCCAGTTTATGGTACAAGTTGGGGACGATAGAGAGGCAAAGAATGGCGACAATTGGAAGCATGCAGGCCACCAAAGTTGCTCCGCGATAAGTCAGCTTGAGTAGCGTGTCGCCCGAGTATGCTCGAACGTTGTCCTTTCCGATGTTAGTAACCTGATAGGCTGGCTGGATGACCACCAATCTGAATGTTGACTCACGGTTCTTGACCTCCTTTTCTGCGCTTCTTTATCTGCATCCTCCACATGGTTGGTAGATGTCTTTTCGCTTCCCTCTTGACCGGCCGTAGACTCCGAATCATCCGCTTCTCTCTTGTGGGGGTTTTTTACAGCTTCTCTGAAGGGAATGAGTTCCTCCGCGAGCCACCGTGTCAGGCCGTCGACATCCTTTCGCCAACGAGGTGCCACAAGGTCTGCTCTGGTTGGCGGTTCCGTCTTGTTCCAGAAGCTGATGAGATTCATGAACTGTTGGCGAAGTGGGGGAGGCTCTGGCTTCTTTTGCTGATCCCCCCATATCTCGCTGCCAACTCCTTGAACAGTCATGTTCCCATGATCTTCGTCCTGGAGCCACTTCACTAGTTGTCGCATGTTGTGAGTACTGGGTTCAGGGAGCGTTGATATTCGGGAGTACTGCAAGAGCGCTTCGTCTATGCCAATGTGAGCCCACGACCCGAAATATTTGACGAACTGAGGAGAATACAACAAGATTGAACATACCGTAGCCCTTCAAACATTCCCTCAATTCTCGAATCTTCAAAAACTGTTTACTGTTGGTGCCCGGTCCCCAGAAAATCTTCTCGGGTTCTTTGTGAAACTCAGACTCGCCATGAAGGTCGAGACCATTCGAATCCCTGTCCAGCTCTTCCAGATCCTTCAATTGTTCCCTCAACACTGATAACTCGACTTGATAATACAAAAGGTTTTTGATATGAAGGTCATGGAACCGCGAAAAGGCCGCAAAATCTGGTGTCTTCGTCATCAATCTTGCGAGATCAAGCCAGCCTTCAGCGGGGATTGGTTCCTCAATGGCAATCGATGCGAGTGATGGAGTCGGTTGGTGTTCCGCTCCGTCTATTGCTTGTGTCGGGTTGATCAAGGGATCCACTGACGCCGCTGTTACAGTTGTCGGAGCGCTGCTTCCACGCGACCTGTCACTCCCCATGGGACTGGTTGGGCTTGAGGGCTCTGAGCCTAGAGTTGAGCCTGCAAAGTCTGAGCGTGCCATCTTGAAGCCTAAGCGTACGTTTCTGGCTGATAATGATGGCTGTGCAGCAAATGATATTCGGAAAGCTCGAAGCGCAGCCTTTTCAACGGGTGATGGGAAGCCAGTCCAGAGACTGGGGATTGGAGTGGCAGTCTCATGGTTAAATGGGTCTGGTTGACAGCCTGTGTAGCAGGAATGCCCACTCATGATGTGATCAAAACTGCACTTAATCTACTGTATTTCTTAACACGTCAAATCAAATGGCGGATGTGTTGTGCATTGCATCCTCGCATTGCAGCAGTTCCACGAGGTCTTATAGGCTGAGGGTTGATTGATGCAGGCAGTTGACCTTCAAGCTTCCTATTTGCCGCCATATATCAGTTCGTGTTCAGCAGCTATAATCTGCCGCCATGATTGATATGCCCCTGGCCGAGAAGATGATAAGTCTCATGAGCACACTCTGGTTGAAACGACAGTCGCTATCTCCTGAGATTTGGAACCCTTTTGGTTCACATGAGGCGGAGTCCGACATGTTGATTTCTAAAGAGACTCACATATAATGACAAGATGGTTGTCGTTGGTGATGTGGCGCAATGGTGGTTAGCCCTGGTAGGCAGGAGTGGTCGACAAAGTAATAGAGATTGCACAAAGAATTTAAGCGCTTCAAAGATAATTGATATGCCTTCGACAATCTTTTTAGGGCCCTCTGACTATCTTGAGAGGCCTATTTCCTATCTTTTAGAGGTATATTGCGTATCTTGAGGGGCCTGTTGACTCTTTCGCAAGGCCTCAATCTCTTTGTTTACAACGTGACGGAATACCCAGCGGACTCGTGTGAACATCATGTACCTAGCTAGGTACCTACGTTTCCTGCATGGTCTAATTAGCTACTAGCCCTCACCAGGTCACGTCAACTGAGGAGAACCATACATGTGGTGCCACCAGGATCCTCGAATGCTACTTGTCTGATTACGAAGTGTGAGAGCAGAATCATGATCTGACTGAGGCATAAGGCTCTCGGCAATGACTACCGGATAGTAATGGATGCCACACACCACAAGATAATTCCCGCAGCAAACTCTGGTAAGGGTGCGTGGCAGTGCACACACTTGTCAAATCAAGTCCCTGGTTGTGTGCGACACACCATGAGTAACATTGGAACCTAACATCTGAGCGCTGGTGTAGAACAGGCCCCAGATTGGAGAGCCCCAACAATCAGAGGACGTACCATGAGGCTCCGTAGTCACCTACCATGGGATTGAAGGCAGGCTCCATGCATTGTACATTCACAACTCAGAATTGCTGTATGTTGTGTATGCATAACTTTATGCATCCATAGATTCAGTGGTATTGTTTACAATTTGTTTTGTGAACACACAGTTAACGAAAGAATACACAAAGATAACCTTTGTTGTTCTATCCGGCGTTGCGAAAGGTCAAACGATGAAGAACAGAGCCTCACGGGTCGAGCTGACAACTAACAGGTTGAGGCATCACAGCTGATTGCCCCCCTCAAGTCCAGGTGTGCCTCATTTCGACCAGGGGGTTACCACCAAGGGCCAATCCCTTGGCCATAAAAGGGCAGGCAATACTTTCTTGACGCAGTAGATGGCCGAAATTGGACAGTATCGTTTGGGAAGGCCTGACGCCTCACCAAAAATGAACAGGCCCTGAACACCATCTTCAGCTCTCCCGCGTCCGGGGCCATCCACAGACCACCATCCAACTCCAAACCGTGAAAGTACTTGATAAGGTGATGCGTATCGGTGAGGGCGAGCCCCTCTTTTCTTTACCTATTGTAACTGGCCTTCTCACGGTGAAGAGCCCCGAACAAGCCGGTGATGATCACGACACAGCAAACAACATCACCAGGCTCTGCGGCACAACGGCCTCTTTGACCTGAAAATTCTGGTTTCCGTGTGTACGCCACGCTCGAAAGAGTACATGCGAAAGTTCCCGTTCTTATGGTCCGAGCCTTGTTGTGTGTCTATCTCAGCTCAAGGTAGACAGATATAAGTTTCCACGCTGTTTGATCCCAGCTACACACAGGTCCACAGAAGCATTTGTCCATCTCAGCTTCAGAAAGACAGAAGGGTTTGTCTATCTCAGGATTATATAGACGAACTACCTCCTTCTACCCACGCCAGTTACACGCATAACACCAAACGATAAGATGTCCGGTACTGGAGGCGCTACTTTTGTCGATGGGCGCTGTAGGTTATTTCGTCTGAGTCAGCGTGACGGGGCACTTCAATAGACACTAACATTTCTATATAGCGCCACAGGCCTGGAAGCTCGAAAAAGCCAGACTAGATAAAGCTCTCACCGATGCGCAACGAACGCTCGATGGCCGCAAGAGAAGCGACCCGGAAGGCAAAGATCCGAGAACTGCGAATGCTGTTGCTCTAGCGCAGTATGCCGTTGATGTGGCGAACATTCATGTGGCACAATACCACATACGTGTAGCGTTTGCCAGTGGAGATGTTGATGACAAGAAGAAGAAGTCTCTTCTGGAGCAGTTGGCTGAGTTGGAGACGGAACTTCAGGAGTTGGCCCAGGGAAAAGCGAAGAAGGCTGCAAATGGCCAGAACTGATGGTTTTCATACCTAGGTAAGGGACAGCTATGTGCAAGGACAAGGACAAGGACCTACACTCGTTTACAAGATCAGGATGTCCTTTGACGCTGGGTTTGTCGCAAATGGAGGACAGATCTTTCTTTGAACCAACCCTCTTGTATGTCGATTTCAGATATTTCTTCTGTGCATCAAAGTCAGTCTTTTCCGAGTGTAATCCTTTCCCACTCGCACCCACATTCAGGTGGCTTGAGATGCTTTCCAACGAGTAGGTAGGCAGTTCGGAAGGCAGGTTCCGTCAGCTAGCGATTGGAAGCATGAGGGAAGCGGGTCATCCCGCTGTTTACATCTCCATCGCAATTTATCCGATCATTTCGATGCAACACTTCCTCCCAAACCGGGTCTTCGTTCCCAAATTCCCGGGAATACCTGCCCCAGCTCCATTCCGTCCATTCTGAAAAGGCAAGTCGGACGACTGAACCGGGCCGGCTACGCCAAGGTCCCTGTGTGGGTGGGTATCATGAAAATGTCATAAAGTCTCACTTTTCCACCGTTGAAGCTTGGTGAAAAGCTTGACTCTTCTTGTCACCTTGGCATTGTTCAATCTCAACTTGGCTCTCAAGATGCGTGTTTTCTCTGCTGTTCTCCTACTGACGGCCGGTGCGGCGGCCCAACGCGGGCCATATGAGCAGTGTGGTGGTACCGGGCGACCAGACGAGAGCTGCAGTGCTGGCTGGCAGTGCACCACATACAAGTAAAGCCTTCTCAAGACTCCTATTCCTACATTGTGGTCGATGATTACTGACGCTTCCCAGCCCATATTATGCCCAGTGCGTTCCAGCAGCCACCTCCGCCCCGGCACCAACCTCGACACCGGCGCCGTCTCCCACACCTGTCCCATCATCTTCCCAGCTTATTACCTCCTCCTCTCGTGTAATCACCACTCTCACCACTGTCACTACACCCCCATCCATCACCACCTCTACCCAAGCCGGCTCAGGCTCCGGCCCGGTTGTCCCCACTCCAACCACGCTGCAATCAGGGTGGTACTGGATCCGCGCGGTCGCCACGCCCAACTACCGCTCTTATCTCCAGCCCCAGCCGACATCCACCCCCGTCCCCAGAGCAGCGGTCCTCGCCAACTCCAAGACGGCCGCCCAGTTCCAGCTCACCTCCGGCCAGCTAATCCAGAACAACTTTGGCAACTCCCCCAACCTCTACCTCAACGTCGAGAACCCCACCGACAAAACCCAAAGAAGACTCAGGACATGGTTTGACACCACACCAAACACCTATGGTACCTTTGGCTGGCAGGGCGACACCCTCACCTGGACCGTCAGTGACATCAACAGGCCCAACAGTGCTGCTTGGTTGGTCTGTGGTGATAGCAAGGAGGTCTTCATCAACACTGGGGCGTTCCTGTGGGATACACCTGCGGGATGTTTCGATCATACTGTAAGTTTGGCTTTTCCCTTCATACGACAAGTGAGCTAACAGCTGGGGGTGATAGATCCACTCGTACAATGGCGCCCAGGCCGATGTTTGAGATGGAGAAGATTTCGAAAAGTGATGCTCAATGGGTTGATGGTTGCATAGTGATAGAGGAATCGAGATTAGAAAACAATCGAGACCTTATGGCCACATGGACTCATACATGTACAACCAATCATCCCAATACTGTTCAAACCGCCCAGTCAGCCAGCTTCTTCCGTCTCCATCTCCACCAATCTTCCACGGTCTTGTGTGTAGGCCCTCAGTCTTGAGGTGACGCTTCAGAGCCACATTCATGCTGAACGAACTTGGGCTGATGCCAAAGAAATAGTCACTCGCGACCAACACAACAAAGTCGATCAGGGCTTGTTGGTCCCAGGTCAGAGCCTCCAACATCAGCAGGTCCTCCCTCGAGTACTTGGCAAGCAGGTCATGTTTGGTGATGACACCCATGCCCAACCTCCTTTCAGCCTCTTCAACCAGCCTCGCTGCATCTGTCTTATTCCCCGTCGCCAAATAAGCAGCTTTGATCCCCGTTGCCTCAGATGCCGTCAGATACGCCTCTGTCTGGTTCCCAAAATCCGGCCACCGACTCAGCGCATCGCTCTCAGTTCTCAAATGTAACCCCACATACCGTCCGCTTCCCCCATGTCTCTTTGCGAACTCTCTCATGTACCCCTTTGCTCTGAACCCCAAAGCCAGAATATCCTCCCTGAACCTCAACAGCCCTCCAAAACTGGCAGTGAATTCTGGCCCATCCTTCCAAGTAGGCCACTCAAACTGCACTCCCCAAGGAAACCTAACCGGCCGGGGGTTCATCTCGTTCAACTCAGGCCATCCAAACTCTTTCTCCGTCCTGTCCAGGTAACCGGCAAATGCCTTGTTGAATACCCCGACGTTCTTGTTGAGGTCCCGCTTATCACAGCCTCCCCTCTTCCCCAGATCATGTGGCCTGACCTTTTCGGCTTTCACGGGGAGTTGTACGTTGGGAATGCTCTCATCATTATCGTAGACCGTGATCCGAGGGCAAGCCCTTTCCAGATTGGTTCGGAAGTGGTCCTCGTCAAAGAAGTAGGTGAACGGCTGGTAGTCCAGCATCAAATCTGCTAGATTCTTCTCGCTGCGAGTGCGGATGCGGGGCAGGACGATGCCGGTGGCGCCGGCTTCGATACCATAGCGGATGCAGGTGAGGATGTAATTCCGGATGTTACCAATTCCTCCCGAATTGTTGTCGCAAATAAACACCAGGCCGGGCCTCCAGATGGTCTGCTCCCGGCAGACACGCTCGAGAGGCCAGCGGACGAAGGGTGAGTCGGGGAGAGACAGGTCGACCGGGTTTGGTTGGGGTTGCTGGTAAGGTGAGAGTGAGGGTCTGTAAGTGCTTTCGTACAAGCATATTTTGGGGAGGCGGCAAGACCAGATGGTGACCAAGGAGATGAGGCAGACGAGAAACAGAACGCCCCGAGGCCGGGAGACCAGAGAGGGAGACATGGCTGGGCTGATGAAGCCCATTTTTGTCTTCATCTCATGGACAAAACATCCTGAGGCTCAGAGAATGGAGAAATGGAGACGTGTTGATGTGCGGATAAATGGGCTTGGAGTCGAATGCCATGGCGGACAGTGACCCGCTTTTGCCCACGGAGGCACAACTCCGAGCCCATCACCCGGCATCCAAGAGAGGGATGCTTCGATCGTAAAGCTTGTGGAGCTTGGGAAAGTGAAGAAGACAGTTACAAGCCTGTGTCTTGTATTGATTTAGAAAACATGACTTCATGTGAGCAGAACGTTTGAGGCAGAGGTCATGAGAGTGAATGTGGGTGGCCGATAAGACTTGTTCCAGCCTGAGAATGAGACAGCGCTGAATATCAAGATTCTGTGAATAGTCAGCATTATAACTACAAATCGTTGCGATTTACAACCCACAGGGAAAAGAGAGAGTGATAGAGAATGTCCGCCAGACTGGAAATCGAGAGAGTTGACATCGTCGAGCTTCGCTACTTCCGTGTCCCTGAGTTGGGTCTTGGCATCAATCCCTGCTAGCGGGACTCAGGTGGGGTTGATGCGGGGTGATAAGATGCCCCACTAAAAAGTTGAAAATCCACAAATTTTTGGTGGGCGGCCCTCGAGATTTTTGCGACCACGACGAACCCCGCCAGCCAGTCGCTCCTCTAATTGTCGCATTGCCGCAAAGTAATTGAACACCCTACTCGACTGAATATCGCTACCTAGTCAAGAAACACCTTCGAAATGTCCAAGCGCACTGCCGACGAAGACAGCGCCGGCCCCCTCAAGGGCCGCAGCCGCCCCGATGCTATGGACATCGACGATGACAAGACCAACGAGATGGGCGAGTTCGAGGACGAGTTCGAGGATGAGTTTGAGAGCGAGGACGAGATCATCGAGGCTGGTATCGACGGCAGACCAGATGCCGAACGAGAGGCTGAGGAGGGCGCTATGGAGCTCGACAACCCCCAGGGCACATTCATCGTCGGCAGAACAAAACTCGAGCCTGGCCAGACCCTCTCTCCCGATCCCACCACATACCGCATGCTTCACAACCTGAGCACACCATGGCCATGCCTCTCCTTCGACATTATCCGCGACGGGCTCGGCGACAACCGCAGCGTCTACCCCATGACCATGTACACAGTAGCAGGCACCCAGGCCGAGAACACAAAGGCCTTAGACAACTCTCTCATGGTGATGAAGCTGAGCGCCCTGAGCAAGATGCAAGGCGGTGACGACGACGATTCCAGCGACGACGAGGACGACGATGAGGATTCTGACCCTCTCCTTGAGCACAAGAGTATCCCTCTCAATAGCACCACTAACAGGATACGAGCTCACCAGGCCCCTGCCACTGGTGCCTCGCAGACCCCGACCACCCTCACCGCGACCATGACCGAGTCCACCAATGTTTACATTCACGACATTACCCCCCACCTCGCCTCCTTTGATACCCCGGGTACCATCATCACCCCCCAACAAAACAAGCCCGTCTGCACCATCCGCGCCCACAAGTCCGAGGGTTATGCTGTCGACTGGTCGACCCTTCACCCACAGGGAAAGCTCCTGACTGGTGACAACGACGGTCTCATCTATGTCACCACCCGCACCGACGGCGGCGGCTTTGTGACCGACAACCGCCCCTTCACCGGCCACACCTCCTCGGTAGAAGAGCTCCAATGGTCGCCCTCGGAAGCCTCCGTTTTCGCTTCTGCTTCGTCTGATGGCACCATTCGCGTCTGGGATGTCCGCAGCAAGGCCCGCAAGCCAGCTCTCAGCATGCAAGTCAGCAATGTCGACGTAAACGTCATGTCCTGGTCGAGACAAACCACCCATCTCTTGGCTTCCGGTGACGATGCCGGTGTGTGGGGTGTCTGGGATCTCAGACAATGGAAGTCGGATGGAAAGCCCACACCCATCGCCAGCTTCGACTACCACAAGGAGCAGATTACCAGTGTCGAATGGCATCCCACTGATGACAGTATCGTTGCCGTCTCTGCTGGTGATAACACCGTCACCATTTGGGACTTGGCCGTCGAGCTGGACGACGAGGAGAGCAAGGACACGGGTGGTGTTGCGGACGTGCCTCCCCAGCTTCTGTTTGTGCACTACCAGAACCTGGCCAAGGAGGTCCACTGGCACTCACAGATTCCCGGCGTGCTGGCTGCCACAGGCGAAGAGTTTAGCGTTTTCAGGACTATTAGCGTATAGAGGATCTGCTTGGGAAATAAAAGGCAACAAAGTTACCACGCCACACACAGCAAACACCTGGACACACGACAGGAATGATCATTCAATGTGATGAAGAACCCTATTTGCCCCCAGCTCCTTACAATACTCACAGACAGACACAACAAACAAATTAAGCTAGTAGTTGTACACTGGTCCCGGCGGAGCGAAACCGGTCAGCTTTTCCCCGTTCAAAGGCTGGAACTTCTTCTCCTTGTACCACGTGTGCGCATTCTCAGCCAGACTCTTGACCTCGTTCATGTCAAACTGCGGCGCCGGCAGGAGCTGGAACACACCCTCCGAATAATCGGGCGAGATGTTGTACAGCTGGGCGAGATATTTCTTCTGTTCCAGGTGTCAGCTACAAACTATTTCGCCCTCACTGATTCGAAGCATACCTGAATCTCTGGGTACTTGACAATGATCAAGTACTTGGCCGTATTCTGAATCGTGTTCTCTCGCTGCTGGGGCGTCATTACCCTCGCCCAAAGCTGTGTCGCCTGCGCATAGTCATTCTTCTTTCCCTCATGCCAGTAATGGCTCTTCCGGCTCATAATGTTGTCGCTGACAGCATACGGCGCCTCGGCCGCGTCGGGCCTGAACTTGTGAGCAAAGCTGTTGGGCGCATACTGCTTGTTACCGGCATGGTTGGCATCCGACCTCATGGGACCGTCAAAGTTGAGCGAGGCGTAGCTCTTGGCCATGAAGGGGCAGTTGACGGGGATCTGGTGGAGGTTGACACCGATGCGGTGATATTGGGCGTCTCTGTAGAAGAACATGCGGAACTGGAGAAGCGGGTCGGGCGAATCCTCAATGCCGGGAACCATGCTGCCGGGGGAGAAGGCGGCCTGCTCGACGTCGCGGGTGAAGTTCTCGGGATTCTTGTTGAGGACGAGGCGGCCAAACTCCTTGAGCGGGAACTGGTCTCTGGGCCAGACCTTGGTCACGTCAAAGGGGTCAAAGCCGAGAAGGTCGGGGTCGGCCTGCTCGGGCTGCATCACCTGGACGTAGGCAGTCCACTCAATCTCCTCGCCGGCCTCAATGGTGTCCCAGAGGTCACGCTTGGAATAATCTGGATCACGGCCGCACATGGCAACAGCCTCGGAATCGGTAAACTGCTTCTGGCCGTGCTTGGCGAGGAAGGTGTATTTGATGTACACGAACTTACCCTCCTTGTTGACCCACTTGAACGTGTGGCAGCCGTAGCCATGGTTGTATCGCCAGCCAACAGGAGTGCCGTGGTCTGAGAAGAACATGAGGCCGGCATGATTGGCCTCGGGTGTGTTGGCCAACAGATCAAAGAGAGCATCATAGTCGAGGAGGAAGTTGCGGGGGTTGCGGGACTGAGAGCGGATGACATCGGGGCCTTGAATGGGATCGCGGCAGAAGAAGACGGGGAAATTGAGGCCCACGATGTCGTAGTTGCCTTCGGTGGTGTAGAACTTGATGGCAAAGCCACGGGGGTTGCGGCCTTCGTCGGGAAATTCACGGCCAAAGGTGACGGTCGAGAAACGGGTGAAGACGGGGGTCTTTTCACCCACGCTGGAGAGGAAGTCGGCTTTCTGGGGTAAGGTCAGCACCTCTTCTGCTCGCAAAAGCTTCAACCTGAGAGATACTTACGGTGAGGTCAGTCACATCCTTGGTACACTCAAAGTAGCCAAAGGCACCAGAGCCGCATGGGTGAACCATACGCTCGAGGGGCTTGGACCGGTTAAAGTGCTGCTGCTTCTGGAAGAGAAACACATCGCTGGCTACGGGAATACCACCGATGGTCTTGCTGTGGGCGGGGTCCGGGAATGGGATGGCTTCATTGTTGGTGAAGTAAAGGGCATCGTCTTCTCTCTTTCCGCCAGCTGAGGCACCGGACACCTTTGCGATGATGTCGGCGGGGCCCTCGTTGGCGCTCTGCATATGGGTCATGCGAGGGTTGCGGCGCTCACCCACCAACTCGGCGGCAATGCCAGCAGCAGTCGCCTTGAGAGGGTGCTGGCGCGGGTCCATCTGGTTGGAGTTGAGGCCCGACATGGCAATTCTTGGCTGTGATGGTCTTCAGATTCGAAACAATCCGTAAAGGTTCTCGGGATGAAGTAACAGGAGAGCTGGGATAGGCAGCGGTCCTCGACCCAGATGCCCCTTCAACCCCTTTATATCACGGGCACCACCATCTTGGCATCTTCGTCATCACGACCATAAACCCCACATCTCGATCAAAGACAATGACTTCCTGTACAACAGACACTTCCCCGCATGAGGAAGTCGAGTCGATGAATCATCATGCTAGAGAAGGGTAGGAGGAAGCTTGCCCGCTGGCTCGGAAAGCCGAAGCTGTCCAGGAACAGAGGCTCCGGCTTGACACAAGGTGGTTGACTGGGGCCTGGAGCTATTGATGTTTGTCCAATAGGCAAGGGGCTGTTTTGTTGCTTCAGGAGGCTGTCTGTAATGGTGACATCATCGATTGAACCTGTCGTTTTTTGACTGAAACAACCAACGAACCACAGTCCTCGGCGGTCAGTGCGAGGTGATTTGTGCTTCAGATTCTTATCACAGTCGCAAATGGTTCATTGTCTCACAGGCTGATTTTGTGATGTTGAAGCTCGGTCTGAATGGCGCTGCTTTGCGGGGACATGAGTTGAGTCGGGTGTAGGATCAGTTGACTTATCGGTTGTGCTTATCAACCCAAGTCCGGTAGAAGTGTCTGGTATCTCAACTTGGGGAATCTTGGGACGATGGAAAAGTTGAGATGGCTATGTGTGAAGGTCCCAGCTCCTGGGATGGCTCTGTTCACTCTCACGTCTTCCTGACGTGAGTTCCTGTCCCACTTGGCACTACTAAATCTCTACAAATATTGACCTACGATCCTTGGCGCAAAAGTTGTTTTTCCCCTTTTTGATATTCTTAAGCCGATCGAACCCTTGCCCATTCCTCCACAATGCTTGCAAGTCGCTTCCTCAACCAAAAGACTCATCCCACGGCCAGGGTTTTCACCAGCTTCGGTCATCTCGGCCCGTGTCCGGCCCATTCAGACGCAGAACGCCCTGGGTGTTGCTTGTATGGCCACAATCACCCAGGCTATTACCGACGACCACCGCCATATCCAGGATTGCTATAACGAAGTGGTCAACTCGAGTGACCCGGACCACCAGCAGCGTTGGGGCAATCAGTTCACGTGGGAACTCGCTCGTCACTCGGTGGGAGAGGAGCTGATTCTGTACCCTGCTTTCGAGTGGCACATGGGCACCGTGGGAAGCCAGATTGCCGAGACGGACAGAAAGGATCATCACCAGGTTCAGCTCCATCTCCAGGCGGTGGCAGAGCTACTACTAACTCCATGAAGGTCAAGAAAATGCTCAAGGACTTTCAGAGCATGAGCTCTAGCGACCCCGATTATATACCAAGGATCAAGGAGCTTTGGTGCAAGCTCGAGGACCACATCAAGGACGAAGAAGGCTATGACCTGCCTGCTCTCGAAGAGAAACTGACACCTGAGCACTCCGAGTCCATGGCGAAAAGCTTTGGACGAACCAAGCACTTTGTTCCCAGCCGCAGTCACCCCTTGGCTGGAGAGCATCCCCCGTTTGAATCGGTCGTGGGTTTGCTCACAGCCCCGATTGACCGCCTTACCGACTTGTTCCGCAAATTTCCGGAGAAGGGGGAGGAGGCAAAGCCGAGCGGGCCAAGGATTGATATACCGCCAGGAAGCAATGTGATTCACGACTGAGGGCTAAGGCACCTTGAAAGGGTTGCTTGTTTCCTACGCCGTTTATCTCGACGTGGCTGGACTGGAACCGGGGGGTGAAAAGTGCTTGGAACTTGTACATGTCTCGACAAGAGAAAACAGAAATTCTTTTCCCATTGAAGGAGTTGCTATCATGCCTCGCTTTTCCAAAAACGGTACCTTATCCATCATATCTATGGTCATCCCTAACATCTCCAAGGACTGTCGGGGCTTCATGTATGTCCAAGATAGAAACCGAATCGGCGTGCCTCCTTACGGTTTCGCTCGCCTACCTTGGTATGATGGCTCCAGCTCGTTGACCCTCCTTCGACATTGTATATACCCTAGGTAAGCATTTACACCCCATGACCGATCCGTGATAACACCTGGGTGTAATTAGACAAGGCACCAATTAGCACATGTAAATAAACAATTGTAAGTCACCTCATAAACAATAACTCCATAACGTGGTGCCTCCATCTAGGGGTATCTCATCTAACTGTCGCAAAGCCATCCGCACTTCGCCATCTCCTCGCCGCATTTCATCCACATCATCCCGTCAGATTCCCGTGAGATTTGGAGAAAAGCCCTCATAAATCCCTTGATGTTAGGTATTCAACCGCTCCCCTCTCCCCTCTCCCCACTCGCTCACCTCCTTGGGAACGTATGGATGCCCTGTC